AAAAAAAAAAAAGCAGTGGCAGTGGACATATCTGCTGAGGACACAATCTGCCATCCATCAGCAAAGGAGCTGGAGCAGTGTGGACATGGCGGTTACCTGATAATCTGGCAGTTTGTAGAGGATGACCTTCCTATTGGCATCACATGCCACCAGGTACTGGCTATCTGGTGAGTATGAACAGTCTGTCAAAGGACCAAGATGCTCCAGTTCTGCCTTTGGACTTAGGTTTGATCCCAGTAGTGTATAAATGTGAATCTAAACTCAAACCAAATATAATTAAATTTATCTGACAGTCTTCAATTAAATGGTATCCTCTTTTTATATGCTTACTCACTCTTGATACTTTACAAAGTATAAAGGATAATTCTAAAATGTTGGAAAGCTTACTAAAAAATACAAATTGTAACATATAATGAACTTTCAAAAAATGAATAACAGTTTAAAATTCACAAAACAACAATGTTATGGCCATTTTCCAACTTGCAGCACAGGAATGCTGGCAAGTCAACACGGTGAGCACTGGCCTGTGTGGTAACAGTGTGAAATGGCTGCATGGCCTCGAAGCATCCAATTTCATGACAGCTACTACAGTATCATAAACTGTAGAGATAGCTGGCATGAGAATTCATTTAAGAAGGTCAAATTAAGGTTCAGTAACGCTAATGACATTATATATGAAAAAGTCTGAAAGTCATTTAACAGTGAAGTATGTTCAATACAATGAACTTGAAGAAAGATTAAGATAGGAAGGGCAGCATTTGCTTGAAATCCTTTAATGATATGAAATTGCTATAGGAAGGGAAAACCAAACTGCAATTACTTTATTGTCCAAAGCTCCTCCCACTGCTACATCTGGGTGTTCACTGTTGATGGACACGCATGAAGGTTCATAAGTGACGGGAAGGCTGGACACTTTCCTTCCTCCCTGCAGAATTGATATCTGTGGGCAGCAGAACAAGAATCTAGGCACTTGACAAAATGCAACTCTAACATATGTTCTGAAATAATCATAAAACCTACAAGTTTAATATTCTGCACTTGAATATCACATGCTGTATGAACTATTGCGCTTATTACTGTTTGACCACGGACCACACAAAGCAACACCAGTAATTCAAATAAATTATTATTTCATGTCCATGTACATCAAGATTAAATTTATTTCATTAACTTCATGCTATTCATTTATGTATCATACCATAAATTAAGATTTTTTGCCTTAATTACACATTCATCTGTTCATTTTAGAACACTGTATCAAGTACTGTGGTTGTGTTATACCAAATTGAATATGAAGCTATTGTGACCTATTTTTAGGTAATATCCTGACATTAACTTATTTTCAAACATGTCAAAATACAAAACCTCAACTCCATACTTAGGATGGCACTACCGTTGTTCCCATGGTGACAATGATCTACTGTGGATGACAGGAAGTTGGAAGGTACATACATGAGGTGAACTTCAATGGCATGCTGTTCATGCATACTTGCAAGAAAACTAGTCAATTGGTGTCTTAAAATGAAACGAGTGTACAAACAGAACCTTCTAGTTATGTTTCACAAGATGGAACTTGACATGAGAGCTACTTATTGAGCAAGAGCCAGGGAGGCCAAGTTTTATGGCAATAAATACAATAATGACTAACAATGCAAAATATTTAAGTTACATAAAATGCATTACTTGCAGAGGGGAGCATAAATTTGGACCTGGAGTGAGATGTAAGCATCAGTGATGTGGTACATGGACATTACAAACATAACAAGAGACGCTGAAGAAGTTAAGGATTAATGGTATGGACATGCAATTATATGAATGACAATATTTTTCCCTTGAGAGGTTCAAAGATGAAGATGTCCAATGAATGAGAACTGGAGAGGCAAAGTAATGGAAAGCACACAGATGACAGCAGTGAAAAGATGGCACAAGAAAGAGTGCTCATGGAAGAAGAATGGTGAAGTCCTTCATTACAGGTGGATGGCAACCTCAGAATACAATCAGCTGCATTACTTACCTCTTTGACAGAACCAGTGACTATGGTATCACCTTTGACGTCCATACTACGAGGCTGAGATCCCAGCTTAATGTCAGCACTTGTATAACTATTAGACACAATATCTACTTGCTTCACACTATCATCAATGCCACATGTGTAAAGCGAGTCACCTATTATCTTCATGCCATTGATCTGGTTCCCATGTCCAACCCCTTGGATCCGATCATTCTCTCCTGCAATGGTAAGAAATAAATGCACAGCATTCCTTACTAAAATACGTGCACAGTGGAGCCAATTCATTAAGCATCTTACAGCATTCATTAACATGATTTTGAATTAACAATAGAACAACCATTTTTTGTGCACTTCAAGCGTAACACCTTAGAGCCCAGTGGTAACTATTAATACGTACCACCTGCTTTTAGAATCGATAACCGTACATTATGCCCACAAATAATACTTTGAGGTTTCAATGATTCTCACAGTAAACAGCAATTATTTCCTTAAATACCATCAACCAACTGATGTGTTTTTCAGATTTAACTCTTTAATATTATTTAGATGAGCTCTGACTTTGAAGGGTTAAAGTTACAAAAATGTGCCTGTTAGGTTCACCATATCTGTGTGTCTATCTGTGCACACAAAACATGGGAACTCCTGAATGAATTTTCATGAATTTCATACTGGGAGATTCACTAACATTAGTCAACTTGTTAGTATTGGTTAATATCAGACAACACTAAATTATACTTTACTATACTGCACTGAGCTATACTACACTACAATACACTATACCAGTGGTATTCAACCTGGGGTACGTGAACCCCCGAGGGTATGCGAAGACATCTTAGGGGGTATGTGAAATTTAAAATATATATATTATTTTATGATAAACACTGAATAATCAGTAATATAATTTATTTTAGATGTAGATTATATACTATGTATAACTTGAATTATACACCAACAACTTTGGGGGTCCGAAGTTGAAGAGAAATTATATCTGGAGGTACGCGAACAAAAAAGGTTGAATACCACTGCATTATACTATACTAATAACTGCCTGCTACAATTCACATAACTCTTATACAGATGTTTCTTACTAGAAATGAACAATCATAGTTTTAAAATGCTTGATCACCTTAACTGTCTAACAAGTTTTTGTAATTCATCGGTTAACAGAACAGACCTGTTTGAAAATACAATCAACAAAGACAGATTAGTGAATAAATGACAATGAAATACATCAATTCACAATTACAACCAAGAAAAACTAGGTGAAAGGTAGTGTAATTCAGTAAAGTAAGAGGAAGAGACTGTGCAGGTGTGCATGTCGCTACTCATCTTCCACATTTACCTGTGTTGGAATCCCAGTGTGTGATGAAGCCATCATGTGAACCTGTGTAGATTGTTTTCCGATCTGGACTCAGACACAGAACAGTGATTGGTTTGTTGTGGCCCTGGCAACATGCATACACACACACACATATTTAGCAATTCCCAGTCTACCTGGAACCATATGTCAGTCCAAAAAGAGTAACTGGAAACTTTCTGTGTCTTATTCAGTACCCAAATCTTAGACCCTTAAGAGGTCAAAAAAAATTAGGCGCCAAAAGAGCAGGGTTTGTTGAACCCTGTCTACATGTATGTGCTACGTACTGCAAATATACTGAATTAACATCAACAAAGTGGAAACTTCGGTAGGAGGAAATGAAGACAAAAATCACAGCTATTACTTAATTATATCAAGAAAACATATCTGTCTGCTGTTCCCTATAAAGCAATAAGAATGAATAAGTAGTGTTGAAATATTGTGCTACCTATTGGCATAAACATGTTTTCTTTCCAATTAAGTTCACATGTCACTAAAGCATCATCTGAATTACCTTGAGTATTCTAATGTGTTTATTGGGGTTGCTGACATCAAGATAATTGATGAAGCCACTGAGTGACACTGACAGCAAATGCTGGCCCTGCCATAAGCATGAAACCTATAAAAACAAATATGATACAAAATTAAGTGAATAAAACTTATTTTTCTACAGGTAAAATGGTGGACTCTACTATGAAGGAAAACACAATATAAGCCACACTTTATCTCCAAGTTTATACCACCTAAAACTAGGATGCACGGGTTATAATCGGAAATATTTATAATGAGATAATTATTCTATATCTTGGTTGATTATAAAGTGCTGCCTTATGATTTTTTACATAACCAAACTTTCCAACAATAGTAAATACATAAGCAACTGTTTTACAGAAGAATGGATGATTAAAACTGAAGGAAATAATGAGAGGCAAAATGACTGTTTGGAAGGTTGCATCATCATCAACATTTTAGCAGTGATATGAGTTGTTGCCCATGCAGCATTGTACCTGGAGTGCCAATACCAGACAAACAGTGCAACTCCCTTGGGCTATACAATTATGAATGATGATTTGTCAGAAAGTGACCACAGCCTGTGTGAGGTACAGAAGTTGTCACAACACCCAGTTTGCAGATTGTCATTTGAATAGGACACCTTTCACATACAGGACAACTACAGTACAATGTTCAATATCAAAGTTGGTATGTTAGAGAAATGTGTACTTACCACAAACAGACTAATGAAAGGGTAACATTTTCTTGTAGTGCGTTGGAATGATGAAGATTTTCTCTTATATTACTCCTTCCTTTTGTAATGAAAAGAGCCATTCCTTTCCTCAGTTCATTTATACATTTTACCTTACTTTAAACAGAACGTTTCTCATATCTACCATTTTCTCCATCAGTTCAGTTTACCTGCTGGTCCTCTACCTGACTGCCCATCATGAACTCCGTTAGCACAGACCTTGTTTCTACATCCCACAACTTGCAAGTCTTATCACCTGATGCAGTGAGGAGTTGCGTGCCATCTGGCTTCCATGCAACCTGTAACGGAAACTTGGAAGGTCATGGGAGAAAGAAGAAATGCACACAAGATACTAGGTACACATCACAGGGACAGGTCACCAAGACCTGTTCAATCCAGACTTTGCTGGCCAGATGATGTCACAATAGATGTAAAACAAAAGGGAAAATGTACAGAAATGTAAATTTGGAGCAGTCGGAAACAACTGGTTTCTACTGTGCACTGTGTATGAGATCTTTTATGCCCTACGCATTATGCCAAGAGCACTTCCAAAGAATAACTTGGCTTCATCACTGTTTTGTTCTTTATAATCTGATAACCATAAATGACAATATAATGGACCAACAATATTAACTGTTCAAATCACCTGTCAGAACTTTTTATACACCCAGAATTTTGTTTCTGTTTTCAATGTTGTGACAGAGCAACACCTATATTTTAACAGAATGCATGAGATGACTTACACTTCAAATTTTTTTTAAACTCAAGTGTCATTTTTGTGTGTGTAAATATCATGATCTTCTGCCACAAAGCTTAACTGGTATAGGCATGTCATAACCATCAAAATGTGAAAGATTAATTATTTACTCATAACAGGACTGAACATCTGATTTGATGTTTTATGTTACACACTACTGGATCCAACCACATTATAAGAATTAGAACATTTGCGGTAAGAAATAGTCATGCTGTAGCATTGATCTGTATGATTGAGAAATCCCAGTGCACAACACAGTATAGGTTATATAAGCTGCACAGAGTTCCATGTTCAATACTTACAGCATATACACCACCCTTATGTGCAGGTGATCCTATTTCCCCAATCAGGTCAGCTGATGAACCATCATACAGAAACACCTTTCCATCAAATCCAGCTGATGCAAAATGACTTCCACTTGGTGAGTATCTCACAGCTTGCACAAACCTCGCATGTTCCTAGAAGTATCAGAAACAAAATGGCATTTTTTTCTAGACAGGAGATACTAGCAGAAAATGGAGATTACAATGTATACTGCATATTCATAGACAATCTTGATGAAACACAACTAAATAATATGATGGAAGTTTTGTTCTCCACTTAGAAAATGGCAGATCTAACAAAATACCTGAAGAGGGCAAGAAAAAGAAAGGCTTTCCACCAAAGTAACAAACAGAAAGGGCTCCTTAAGAGAAGTGGAAAAGCAAGGCCTTTCTTTCCAGAACATTACTTTCCTGAGAACAGAGACCTTTCACCCACTGAAATGTATGAATTTTCTTTGCTGATAAAACTGCTTTCAAAAGACATTATGAATATCAAAGCAGTGATAATGGTATTCTCATTGCAAGGTGAAATGACAACTAAGCCATTACTGCTGCAACATACATACATACATACAAACATGCACACATGTGTATCTGCGCACACACACACAATTTTCAAAATGACAAGAAAAATTACCTGTTTTGTCATCTTGAATTTGAATGGTGGTCCTTCAAACACACCAATTGTATTGTCCTCACATCCTGTCACAATTCGGAATGGCCTTGAAGGGCGAAAATCACAAGAGTTGATTGATTTGGACTGTCCTGATATTTCACCAACTGAGGTGCCAGTCTCTGCCATGAACACATGTCCAAACCTTAAGACACAAATAGTAATGTTGTATCTGGATTTCATTCCATCCTTGCTTCTCTACAGTTTATATATTTGTGTACACAACAGGATAAAGACCAGAAATATTTAAAAAGTAAAGCTGTCCGCCACACGCCATGTGGGTTGTTTGTGGGGAGTGGAGATATAGCTCCTACTCTTGACCTTGGCACTCGATGGGGTGAGTGATCAGCATCATGCCCTGGCCATGCTTTACCCCCAGGAAAGGACCCCAGTACCCATAGGATAGGAGGCTGGGTGGGCCTGAGCCGGTCTGGATGCTGAGGCTAGAGGAAAAATCCCGTGCCCCGTCAAGGATTGAACCCGTTGTCCAGCCTGTAGCTGGTCACTATACTGACTGAGCTACTCTGTATCCGCCAGAAATATTTATTCCAATTTAATGGGCACAGTTTCCAAGTGTATTCTTTACAGTTAAACTTAATTTTCATTTACTGTAGCTAGATAAACACAGGACAGGCTATCTTTCCTCATATTTTGTTAACCACTTGCCTCAATAATTTTTTCCACACTTTGGGGGTGAAAAAATGCATATTTTTGTTCAGCTTTGTGATTTTTGAACATAAATAAAATAATTTATGCAAGTCATTTCATATCACAAGAAAATCTGCATATAACAGTTTCATTATTAACCCAAGTTATCTTGGCTCTATTTAGATCATTTGTGTAGTGAAGTTCTTAAGTTTCCAAATGTCAGCTTTCTTGAATGTCAACAGAACTATCTGAATCTGAGTCTGTAATTTATACTAATGGATTCATTAACAGAAATGTCTTCCACTTCACCATCGTAACCGTCAGAGTCACTTATCATCACTAGGTGATCAGCCTGTTGTGATCAACATGAAATAAAAATATCAATACTGGACTCATGTCAGACATGCCTAATTCCAGAAAAAGCCACTGCTGTATCTAAAAATATGAATACAATTCAGAGAATCAAATTGGGCAGTCCATGGGTTCTCAACCTGTGGCATTTTTTTGTTGATTCTATCACTCGGCATGATGAAAACTTTTTGTAACTAGTTAATACAAGTAATAAATCAACAGATGTGTTAAAATAATAACAGAGTAACATAACAAACCTGTATGTTTAGCAGACAGGTTAGTAAAATATAACGAAGATCCAATAGTTTAGAAGTTTATTGTACGAAATAACAATGTAATCCATGCTTAGGATGTTTAAGAAGTAACATTTTTTCTTTTCCAGAACAATTTATAAGCTCTGCCTAATAAAAGGAAAGTCAGGAGACAGCCTCTTTGCAATTCATTCTATGCTTTGGACTGATAAGGCAATTTTATGCAAAAAAAAAATAATGCTGACCATCACAGCAAAGAAGTTCTTAACATTCTTGAAGGACAAGTTAAAATGTATCAAATGTACACTGTACAGACCGTGAAAATCCAGTGCAGTCTGAAGTCATATCTAATATAGGCCTCTCCTGTTTATTTCCTAGTACCATCAAGGTGACTAATACCACTACACACACACACACACCACAATCAACATTATCTTGTTGCTAAACAAGTTTGAAATAAAGTAGGAGGCATATACAAATAGTTTGGGCATGTATGTATTATGACATATATGTAGATGCAAACTCAGCAATTTTAACACATACATTATAATAATATATACATATCACTTACGTATAAAGTGACTGAAGTGGATGAAAGACTCTCGGGTTACAAGCCGCGTAAGGTGGCTGAATGGTGAATAAACCATATCTTCTGCCAACGTTTTGAGAACAATCTCTGCTCTCATCCTCAGGGCAGCTGTGTAACAAATCTGATCATTTGAGGATGACAGCAGAGATTGTTCTCGAAACATTGGCAGAAGATATGGTTTATTCACCATTCAGCCACCTGACGTGACTTATAACCTGAGAGTCTTTCATATACATATCACTTGTTCATTTAGGTTAACCCTGTGTTTCAGATTAGACAGACACTGAAATGGTTTATTGCATATCTAAGTACCTGTTTTGAAAGAAATAAATCTTCCAATTCTTGGAATTAATTCACATTTCATCATAAGCACTAACTTAACATATTCATATACAAATATAATCAACTTTACAAAATGTAAAATAAAAAAATTTCCTCACAACCTATTATATATTTCCATATAATGGCACAACAGATTCATACACATTAACTATAATGGTACCCTGAAATACTGTAATTTCACACCTTTTGTAAGTCTGATCTCAAATCTTTTATTTTTAGACTTCAGGATGAAATCAGCTTACAAGTGAGTGGTCATATATACCTACAGATACTGTCTTTCAGTCATAAATTCAATTATCTTACAGAATTCTACATACACACAGCAGATCAAAAGGTCTAAGACACATAGTTCTTCATAAACTACAATTAATGTATTAATAAAAATATAGCATTTCCTCATATGGGCTGAATACATGCAACTGTACTGTGATTAGCCGCAACAACATTTATACAAACTGAACACTTACATTAGCACGAAATCACTATTTTAAACACTGTCCTGGCATAGGCCATTTGAGCTTTAAATGCATCCACAATATACCAATGATGAAAAAGCAGTCGTGGCCATGCACTGCTTGTAACATGGTAGACTCTCCTGTACCTCTTGCAGACCTATCTTAATATTGCTCTGTCCCATTGGCCAAGCTTTAGGGAGGCCTCATGCACTATACAGTAAGCAGCTGAACATTGCTGTTGTAATGTGTACACAATTAATTTACCTTTCCCTCCCCTCTCCAACCACCACCATCCGCTGGCTGTCAGGTGACCAGGAAATATCCCTAATTGGGCCCCCAATTGGTTGGAATTCATTCTTCAATAAATGTTCCTTATTCACTGTGTCCCAAATTCGTACTTTCCCAGATTGATCTGAAATGACAGAAGAAACCAATCTAGTAGCTATACAGTTCTTATTTTACAATATTGTAACGTGGGTCGGCGTTGCGACCTGGATTGTCAACCCTGATTTATTCACGTCAAATTAAATCAGTTACAGAGGTCTGCACATACAGTCAACTCTCTACAAAAACAACAACACACTTCGTGTCTCTGTTCTCTGCACACACACTCTGTCCTCCGTGTCTATCTGGTCCCTCGAGTTCGGCGCTCTTCACACTCTTCGCTTACACATCGGCCCGTAGCACCCCACTGGACACTCGCTGGCTCCTCGGCCGCCACGGTCCACTACCCGGTGCTCCCACACGTAGCCGACCAGTCCTTACTCGGCGCCACACCACCACTCACTCGACTCCACCAATGTCCGCCACGCTCATGCAGCCGACCTGTCCTTACTCAGCGTCGGCCCATAGCACCCCACTGGACACACGCTGGCTCCTCGGCCGCCACAGTCCAACAACTCTACTCTCAACACTCTCCCTTTCCAACCACTCTTCAACACTCTCCCTTTACAACCACTCTAAAGCCAACCAACAAACCAAAAAGCTAACTAAGGGCGGAGGCCTGTGCTAGCGCAAGCATCGTCCCTTCCTAGGTGAAACCATTCCTGCGCACAAGGCGCATTGCTGGTGGCCGCCACGGTCGACATACCCGGTGTTTGCTCACACAGCCGACCTGTCCATACTCAGCGTCGGCCTGTAGCACTCCACTGGACACACGCTGGCTCCTCGGCCGCCACGGTCCACGTACCCAGTGCCCGCTCATGCAGCCGACCTGTCCTTACTCAGCGTCGGCCCATAGCACCCCACTGGACACACGCTGGCTCCTCGGCCGCCACAGTCCAACAACTCTACTCTCAACACTCTCCCTTTCCAACCACTCTTCAACACTCTCCCTTTACAACCACTCTAAAGCCAACCAACAAACCAAAAAGCTAACTAAGGGCGGAGGCCTGTGCTAGCGCAAGCATCGTCCCTTCCTAGGTGAAACCATTCCTGCGCACAAGGCGCATTGCTGGAAATTGCAAACGGTCTTAATATAAAAAACGGAAATTTTGCTATCGCTAACAGGGTTACGTCGTGGCGGGAGCCTCGACCATTCAAACTGGGATCTGTTGCTGCTGATGGGAGGTTATCCCGTCAGGCAAGTTGTCCAAAAAAATTCGGTTGGTTGGATCTGTGGGCTTTGAACCCGCTCTAAAGCCGCTTGTCAATCAGCTTTTATACAAATACAACGTCATTAAACAGACACAACAATTATAAACGTATACAACAATTTCAAAAGCAACAATGTCTATAAATAGACACAACAATGCCGAATAATAATACAATAATGTTAATAAACAGACAACAATGTCAGACGCGACAATGTCAATAAACAGACAACTAAACTGTTTATTGACATTGTTATGCTGCTCTCATGGCAACACGTCACAATATCATAATGTGGAGACCTGGTGGTCTAGGAGTTAGGTACCAGCTTTTCATGTAAGTCTATCATAAGTGATAGGTCCACATGGAAATCACATGAACAAGACTGAAGCGTGTACCCATGTGCAACGTAGCCGTGTGATTCTTCGGATATAATGAAACAGCTTCAGCACAAGTGAAAGCCATTTTAACAACTTACATGTATTTAGTAACATCCATTGGAGCTTCTACAACAATGTGTTTTTCTCAGTCAGTTGGCAACAGAAATATCATCCATCTTAAAATATGCACTAATGATGGCAACTCTATCTTGTGCCACCTTTATAAGATCCCTTACCGAATACATTTTAGGATGCACAGATTGTGTAAGAATTCTGCCAATACACAAAGACTAGCACAAGCAACAAGTATAGTACCACTTTTTAAGAAGTGAGAACAATTTCAAGGCACTCTGTTATGTCTGTGGCTCACTCAAAACAGCAGCAAGCTTGCAACATTTATTCCAGGATGCAAAGATAAACCAGTCTTGACAAGACACTGCTTGATGAACGACAGGTTCATCAGCACTACTGTTTCACCAAATAAAACACAACAAAATCCAACATCATCCACAGAGTAACAATAAATTATGAGGGTTCAAATAACCAGTTACACATTTCTCTACAGATATAGCAATCTTCTATCACATTAATTATCTACAAAGAATATGATGTTTCTGATATGTTTTTTTTACATTCTGTAACAAAGCACTGGCTTCATTCTACATTTCAGAGTGCTAAAATATCTCTCTTAAAGAAAAAGACAATGCAATTATATTATGCATTGTCACAAATAAGCAAGTGGTTATGTCACATCCTTTTCTTCAGTCTGCATGGGTGTGTAAGCATGTGTAAGTACATTATATTTGGCCAAACGGGGTATGCCAATATAGCATGTTTTAAACAAACAAATTACAATGTAAAAAGTAACAAATGTAGAGCTATAGCAACAAATAAAAATATGCTACTGTACCTCCAGATGCTATGTAAAATCCACTTGGTGAATATTTGGCCACATTTGTAGCACAGGAGTGTTCAGTGTAAACATCAGATATAGCAGGATTCTGTAATTAAACATTCTATGACAAGACTTCTCTGCATTAGCCAGTTCATTGTATAAATAAAAGTATGGTTTCTGTAACTCATCAAATCCAACAACCACATTCCGGATTTCATACCTCAATATTTCTTATAATAACACTATTTCCATTAGTATACAGGAAATTTTTCCCTTTTGGATCTCCTCCCAGGACAATAGGCTGCCCTCTCTGAGTTCTGGGTAGAGTTGCAAAAATATATTCTGTAACAGGTTACAACATGTAATAAATCACGGTCATTGCAAAGGTGGTTGACCGCCCTGTTAACATAACCAAGCTTGTTAATTTCCTTTCAAGGTGACTAGTCTATCACTCTGTGTATTTCACCGAATGGCATGATTTTGTTGCACATTCATTAATCTGCAATTAATCCGCCTCTTAACAGAGGTCGTATCCCTTACCGGCTCAACAGAGCGCATAAACATGCAACATATTTTAATTGAAAATTATACATTTTTCATAATTAACCATCCAAAATTTCCTCTTACATCAACTTGCTGTACTTACTATTAGAATATGACATTATATATCCAGGTCCTTAGTGATACAAGCTCAAATTCTCCAACGCCCACTTTCTTCAGATATTACAGCAATCTTGAAGCACTATCCTCTTCCCTTATTTGGCAGAACTAAAACCAATAGCATATCATATACTAACAGATGGCACTAGTAACTCATAGTAGTAGACGGAGAGGGCAAAATCAGTCATGACATCTATCCGTATCTGTTGAACGAAGTATACGCGATACCCGAAAGATGTCGCTTAATGCTAGCTTCCTAGTCGGAACCAATCAGTAAGTAGTATTTCTAAATCCCAGCATGGACGTCAAGAAAATTAACGATTTGAATTTGGGTTGTTGCGCCGTATAGTCTGATAGAAGTTTACTGACGTTTTAGAGGTCCGTGCTGCCTCCATCATCAGGGCGATGATATTGGAGGCAAAAGAACCTTGCGGATTACTACACCATTTTGTCCCGTAGAATTTCTGAAGTGCATACTGCAGTTAGCACTTTAGAAACGTCGGTAAGTTTCGACCAGACCGCATGCAATACTCCTGAATACTCTGCAGAAATATGAACTTACTTGTTCGTGCTTTACACCTGATGAGGGAGATGTTGGATAGTAGGTAACGTCGTTACCCATTGGCCATCTGAACGTTCTTACATCAACATTTAAGCACGCACAGATCAACTTGTTTGTGTTCTTTGAATTTGAACAAGGATAGCTGTCTTTTACACATCAACACCAGCCTCTGTGGTTTAGTCGATAATAGGTTGCGCACGTGTTAGGTACGTCAATCAGTGCAGTTTCATTACAGGTGGTAGTTTTTCTATGGCTGAGATTCGTTTTGGTCTTGGTAGCAGGTTTTTCTTATTTATTCTTTAAGTTTATGATATTTTGCATTCGATGTTAAAATATAACTTTCGAAAGAGATGATCGAGAACTAGGCACAGCTGAAAGTACCTAAACGTTGAATGAGGTAAATACAACAATGATAATGGAGTTAAGTGGGAAAGTGTTAAACGAAGTCTGAAACAGTGTTTGGACCGAATGTAGACGTCGCTGCCCTGGTGTGTTTACCGTGTCCACAACGGGTATTTTAGGACGTAGAAAGCTAATGATTGAATTGAACTGTCACAAAAATACTGATCTGTGGGCCGAGCATAGATATGGGGTTTTAGATATTAAAGTTCTTTGCTTTCTGTCTTTCACATACATACGTGAAAACATGAAAGCGCTAGCTGCTAGCAAAGTATTGAATACCTTTTATTCCGGAATGAAAACAATTTTTTTCTATTTCCTTTGTGTTTGAAGACAAAAATGTGGTTTTTGTGCCTAACATTTCAATGATTGTGCCTTTTTTCAATAGATACATGTGTTTTATGTGCATACTCATGATCTCATGAGTTGAAAACCCCAAAAATTTAGTTTCCGGTGAAATGCTGTAAGTAAATTGTGAAACAAATAGTGGAATAATATTAGCATACCAGTGTCTGCACTTGTGTTTATTTAGCAAGGACCCATGAGACATCACCTCCAAACTTCTCAAAATTCATTTGTTATTTGTGCATACTGGACCGAGTGTAAATGTTGTAAATTAAATTAATTAACCCATTGGAGTCTAACATAGAGCTGTATTCATGAGTAGCCATAATTCCCATTGAGCTGTGCCATGACTGGAGGTCATGTTTCTGTGTTTTATTGTTCTACCTACCATTGAAGTAGATACTCAGTCCAAGCAATGGGCCATTTATTAAAGGAGACTCCAACAGGTTAATTTAACACAGCTTAACCTCCAATGAATGTGTTTGAAACAGGGCCATCAGGTGTTATAATTCAGAGCTTTTCAAAAAATGTTTCGTGAACGAAAATGTATGGAGATTAGTAATTGTTTATGATATCAGATGTGAAAGGTTCTAAATTCACTTAAACAATCACCTTTACGATTGTTTGTGCAACTACATTCATTGTTCTCAAATGGTAGCTCTAAACTGGTGTAGTAATTGGTTGAATCATCATTAGACACAGTTTATCTCTGACTTCATATATAAATCCAAACTGAAAATAACTTTCAAGGCTCATAATTACAGGGTCCAATGCAACATTGAAAATTTTAATTCTGTTCCTTTGTTCTGTGTCACTGTAAACTTCATCTTCTGATTCATAGTTCTAAAGTTGTCACTTCCTTGCATCTGTTTCTGGAAATTCAGCCGGTACACATTTTTCTGCAAGCTATTTTGCTGATAAGATTGCATCTTTAGGTTCTTCTTCTAGTACAGCTGGGTGAGATTTTCATTATAGTCACAGTTTTGTTGTGCATTATCTTTGTAATGGAGTCCATATGTCATATCATAAAACAAATGAGACAGTTTATAGGTGAAATCTCCTCAGTAAGTGAGCTGGCTTCAGAATACATCAAACTATGAAGTGTTATTTCCCTTTATGCCAGACTAATTATTGCTAAGTACTGTAAATTGCCATCTGGATTTCAATGCAATATTCACATTGAACTGGCCAAATGAGGGGACAGATACATTAAAGGCATACATTCTCTGAAAAATTAAGAAAGCATTTTCTACCAGTTCAATCAGTTTGCAGTATCAGAAACTACCTAATCTAAGGAGTAACATCCATAGGTTTGTTTGCAATAATCTACTTTGCACTCCAGTGAATTTCTTTTACATGTTTTCTTTATTATAACAACCATAGCCCACGCACTTTTCAAAAGGTACATTGTCATTTTGTAAAAGCTAGAGCATTCTTTTACACTAAGCTTATCTTCTACTTCTTTGTATACAAAGAAATTGCAGAAATTATTCTTTCACCTTTACTTTTGCTTCGTGAATTCTGACAGTCAGAACGATTAGAGACATCTGTTGTGGCATACAATCCTGTGTTGTGTTGTTGTGGAGAAGTATTTCATCTTCAGTATATCATACACAAATGGCCAAATATTTTTGAGCGACTGCACAGAGTGATTCATAGCTCTAGTGTAATACTTGTTTGTAGCAGATAATGTGAATAAAATATGTCACTTTCTGAGTTGTGACATTTTTATGTTGATGTTGCTTTTATTATTGTGATTTTTTTTAAAATGAGAAGTGTCTAATTTGCTTTCATGTGTAATGATAATTCTAATAAAATATAATTTGCATTAACTATGTTTTTCAATTATCTGGGCCCCTGCTTCCCCCAATTACCATGGATAATCAGTGTTTTACTGAACTTCTTTTTGAGTACTTTTCTGTTTGTTAGGTGGGGACTTGTCAGTTCGCTGAATGTGCTGTACATAATCACAGCGGATTTTCATTGTGTCTTTACAGGGGAGTAAGTTTGCACTTTGCATCCGCCATTGCTAGCATGTGCATGTGGCATGAAACTGCGTGTTTTTCTGAGATTAAAATGCGTCATTTCAAATACATCAGGAAGGTTGCCTCTAATCCGAATACTGACACAAATGAAGTCAGTACAGAAAGAAAATTTCTGTCACAAAAACCACACATAAAATGCATATCTGTGTGCTCTGCATTAGTAAATGTAGGCGTAGTTGTTGTTACCCCTTCTCTTGTTAATGGTGCTACTGTCCAAATCTGATAACTGTGCTTCAGCTGTCTGTACTTCCATGATATCTCAATGTGAAGCCCTCATCAGATGATCAGAATAATACATAGTAACATCAACATAAAAACATCATCTCTTGGAAATTGTGGAAAATATGGAAAAATAGTGTTATTTACATTTTCTGCTCCATATGACTCCCCAGCAACCTCTGTAAGTATTGCACTAGTTCTTTGAATCATCCTGTCAGAGTGTTTAGGTCCTTGACTGCAAGGGGCATGAAATAGCAGGGTCCCTTGTAGCCAGAGCCCTTTGAAGTTGCAGGTTATGTTGGATCAGACCCTGGTTAGAAACTTGCTTTCTCACTCTGAGGGAAGAATGTATAAAAAAATAGATTGAGAGTATCTGGGAACAAAGTGTTGATAATGTTTGGATCTAAGAAGGAGACATTGTATATCCTTTACTAATATTTGGTTGGATGACATGGTGTGGGGGGCATATACATATGAGAGAATTGCATGCAGAATTTTAGTTGTGATACTGAAAGGAAGAGACAACTGTAAGGCCTAGACATAGATGAGTGTACAGTATCAAAATTCTTCAAAGATGTAGAGAGGATGTGGATTAATTTATGTGATTTAGGATAGGGAACTGTTGCATGTTCTTCAGAACTTTCTAATGAACATTTGGGTTCAGTAAAATTCAGAGAATTTAACTATCTGAGATTTTCAATAAGTGCTGTCCTTCATACACATTCTTGTTGGTATTGCATGAGTGAAGAACACCTTAAGGGCCCATTCATATCTGTCTGTCAGTTGCATTTTGTACAATAGTACACAGCCCGCATCACCAGGATTCATTGTTTTACAATAGTGGGGAGGGACCAAGGTACCACTGTTGAAACACGTTAATACAACAATGACATACATGATGTGATATGAATGTAGTGTCAGTGTACTTGGAAAAAGTACACCTTTCCAATCCTTCTGTTAATAATAATGATTTACTTTATGTTGATATAAGAAATTCCTTTGTTTCAGATGTCATTGTTGAATAATTGGTGGTACAATACAGAATATGCTGAAGAGATTGTCTGCACTTTGCGAGACAAGGAGAAACAAAGGATTCCATTTTTTCAGCAGTCGCCTCAGGTAAATATGTATTGAGTGAAGTGTATTTTGACCAGCTAGTTTGCTGTGGGTCTCCCCAGTGTCTACATGCAAGTACTATAACAGTAGTATTGCTTCAACACAGATTGTGACAGCTTTTTATATTTTTCCATCCCATTCGTTGTGAGTCAGCACTTCATTTGATGCTATGTAATCGCAGCAGTTGATATGGCAATACAAATTAACCGACTAAGCAAATAGTTTTTGATGATATAGCATCATTCAAATTCAATGTGTGATTTCATCTTGTGATACATAAGAGCTCCAGAAATTTACCTTCTCAGGTATAAAGTCGTCTGAAAATTTTTTTTACCTTCTCTTTCAGTCATTCCTAGTGATCAGAGAGAACACACATGAAATTACTTACCTAGACTAATACTCTACAAGACACTTAACAGGATCATTGATTAATTACAAACATATTTTAGGGAATTACATAAAATATCCTTTATTAAATTAAATGCAGCATATTCTATATATGAGTCAATACACTGTTGGGGTTTCTACTAAATGCTGAGGGTTAAAATCCATGGCTAGGGTTTGGCACTGTCTGAAGAAAGAATGATATTGTGTTAAGTAGAACGAGGAAAAGAGTTTGACACATCTTTTAATAGACTTAGAAGTGTGGTATTGTGTGTAGCAGCCAACAGTGATGTGTTGTCTCAGTACAACACCAACACACGCGCGCCTGTTCTGACATAGACCATACCACTTGTGTAATCAATTTAAGGGGTTATAAGAGGAAAATACAAAAATATAATGACAGAAGGTATTTAGTAACAATAGTCAACATATTCCATTCTATTCATGGGTGATGTTATCTTTCCCAGTATTATGTATGTTATAAGGAGTTGTGTGCTAAATTATTTTTGGCACTTGCAGTGTTAAAGACTTTGATTTATAGAAAATTATGATTTTGGCAGTGAATGTGCCAATACACAGCACTTAGCTGCCTCCAGTTCCATAGCAGACTGTAGATAACTTCTTCCACTGACACAGAACCAAAAGCTTCAAGAACATGAATATAAGTACTGATCTTTGTAGTTAATCCACAGCATGGTTCAAGGTTATAACTTTTACACGTCCAAAATAGTTTTCATGGTATCTGTGCATGGTGCATCTCCATGTTGTTTCTGTTGTTAAGAATTGAGAATTTTGTACAAATCTGAGTATCAGTTTATCATGTACTAATTTCATTTTCTGGATTGTTACATTTGTAATTACAGGTTGACAAGTGTGGATTTTTGATACTCATCTTGTTTTCTGTATTGTTTTTATAATTAACAGTGCTTGTTTATTTTGCTGTTATCCATCTTATTTGTCTCCAGTTGTGTATTAGATGGCAAAAATCAAATGCATTTTTGATTCATTATGTCTGTAGTCAGTTACAAGTGGTAAAGGTTTGTATATCTGGTTTTATGGCCAACAACCAGTTCCCATTAACAGTTTAATAATATGTCTTAGTTTAAATTTGTCTTTTTCCTTACCTCTAACACCATATACTTGTTTTCAGTTGCAAACAAAAAGTTTCTCAAAGAAGTGACAATATTTTGAGATCAATCATTAGCACTGCTTATCAGGCTTTAGGGTTCAGCATTGCATCACGTTGAGTGGGCAGATGCTCCACTATGCCATCACTGAACACCTCTTATTCAGTGCTAATATGAAGGTTTCTGTAGAAATAGATGTAATTGGGAAGTGTACTCTTTGGTGTATACTGACATTTAAAAGGCACGTGCCTTTCGTGCACAAATGAGGCCATTGTTGCATCTCAGATCATACTTGCATCATTTGATTCCAGGCCATTGTTGCACGTCATCTTCCAACAGTACCCATAGGTCATTCTAGCAATAATTTGATTATAGATTCTATTATTGTGCAACACTTGAGACCCTTGAATACTGTTGTTCTCTACAGTGGGTTCTGGCAGTGGGACCTCTGGTACAATGGTAGAACATAATTATAAGTAATACATCATTTGAAAATGTTTAAAAATTTAAGTATCCGGGAACAACAATAACAAGTAGAAATGAGGTCCATGATGAAATTAAGAGTAGAATACATTTGGGGAACGCTTGTTTTTATTCAATTCAAAAACTGTTATCATCTCATTTACTATCCAAAACACTGAAGATCTGGATTATAAAACAATTTTTCCATTTGTCTCGTATAGTTGTGAAACATGGTCTCTTACATTGAAGGAAGAACGTAGATTACAAGTGTTTGAAAACGGTGCTCAGGAGGATATTTGGATTTAAAAAGGATTAAATAAGGGGGAATTCTTAGATTTAATCAAGAGAGAGTGTAAGAGGAGTAAATTAAATAATGCAGAACTTCATAATTTATACTCCTCACAGATATTATTATAGTGATGAAATCTAGTAAAATGAAATGGGTGGGGTATGTAGCATGTGTGGAATAGCTGAGGTATGCATAAAACTTTTTAGACACAAAACCTGAGAGGAAGAGAACTTCGAAAAATAGGTCAGGCTGGAGTACCATCAAAGGCGGGAAGTTTGACCAGCGGCCAGCTTCTAATCCATGGAGTTAATTTGTGGTGTCATGTGGTGAAATAAATGGGCATGTGTGTATAACCTTAAAAACCTTAACCCAGTTTAACATTGTTTGAATGTACATTATGTTAATTTGTAACTGACGGTAGCTTCTTTTTCATTAAATTTGTATGTTTTTTTTTTTAATTCAGCTGTTTGTGTTTCATTAAGTGCTGCACAAATAGCAATTTTTCTGCAGAGCACATCCACAGACAATTTCATTAATCTCAGTTTTAATGATATGCTTTTCATATAATTCATTTGTTGTCGTCACATGGCTTTTGGGTCATGGTGACAGCAAGCAGCAGAGAACAATCTTGACACTGAACATCACAGTCAAGTGGTTAGCACTCTCAATTTATGTTTAAGAGCTACCACATTCAGATCTCTAGCTATCCAGATAGCAATTTTGTCAGTCCTGCCAATCATATGTGAGGATAGCAGCTTAAATTAGGCTTCCTTCCATATTCCATTCAGTTTATTATTCAGTAATCCTCATATCATTTGACACCATTCAGTCTGAGCTGTTGACAAATGTCATTACATGAAGTGCAAAAAAACAAAAAAAAACAAGATAGATAAGTCATTGCTGAATGATGTCAGATATGCTATCTTGCTACTTGCTTCTATGCTTCCATTTTACTTCTGTTGTCTCCATCAGATTCTGGTAATAACATTTTTTGTTGATAAATATGTTTCATACATAAGATTGTAATTCAAAAAATATGCTGAAATATAATTCTTCTTAATTTCAAAACAAATTTGAGGATCTTTTAAATTCACAGTGGCTTTAGTTATATGTTAAAATATGGTTAATTCAACATAATAGTGTGTCATATGCCAAAGTAAGTAGACTTCAGAGGGTTAAAGGTAATATTCCTTGTTTCTGTAGTTCAAGTACCGACACATTCTGGTGAGCTGGCTGCGTGCACTTGCAGAGGATCTTCATTTAAATAATGTATCAGTCCATCTGGCTGTGTACCTGCTTGACATATTCATGGACAATCATAGAATTGTTGAAGAACGGCTGAACCTGGTGGCGCTTGTGTGCATTTTGTTAGCAGGTATGTGTGCAAGTAATGATCACCACATCAGACATCTTTTTTGGCTGTACTGTTTGTTTCTTTGGCATCTGACAAAGTTTTATTTATTTCAGTGTGTATTTAAAAGTAAGTATTGTTTATAATGATGTTAGGAGAAGAGTAAATTTGTTGCTCAGTTCATGTAGAGATCATTAATTTTACCAGCTCTTTTTGTGTGTTACTGGATTGCAATTTCTTGCTTTTTAGGATAGAACATTTATTACAAGTGACTGAAACAGTTTTTGTTAAAGTACATATTTGTTTCTAAGAGGAATAATGTAACTGCACATTTTAGGATAATACCTAACAAGGAACTGTGATTTAGACAGTTTAACTTGTTGTCTTTAAAATACTGAAATCGATTAAGGTATGTTGGGCTGAACATGTATCTTGTATCTTGTAATCTTGTGGAATTTTTATGGGAAATGCATGGAAAGCAGCCACTTGGAATATTTAGAAATGGGAGGATATCTTATGATAAATCGTAGGACGACTCGGAGGACGGTATTGTGTCAAATGGCAGGCTTTGGATTTCCTGTGTTGAACCTTCATGTTCTACTACCAGAGAGCTGGTTAGTAGGAACTTAGCATCCTTATTCCAAGTTGTTTGGTATGATTAGATACTTGGAAGTTTCTGAAACTTTTTTCTGTGTTGTGTTTAGAAAGAGTGGTCATATTACATGGGTTAACCAACAACAAATCTTTCCATATCTGTATGTAGGGTAGAGCAACTCACCTGTGAATGAAGTGGCCCAGCAGTGGGTCACTGTACAAATTTAATTATTTGCATTTGTGCTGAGTAAGACGTGATTCGAAGGGTATTTTATTACTTTTCCTGTCCTGAAGGCAAGTCATGTCTTGTAATTAACCAAGAGGGATTTGAATTTCTACAATACCAATGTCTACAACAGATCAGTAGCACAGACTCTGACAAAGGTTGTACATTGTTTTCCTCTCTCTCCAAGTTAATACCAGGATTATACTTTGAAGTAGACCATGTATACCTCCTTACAAATCCTTGCCTACTTACTGTTGAAGGTCTTCTCTATCTCATTCAACATAAACACTCTGCAGTTGAAGCAGCATCATTAAATAAACTAAGAAACTGTCACTTATGGTGCATGGCATTGGTGTTCACCAGTTAGGAATGTGTGGTAACAGTGTCTCTAAGCATGCCATTATAACTTCAGCATCTTGTTATGAATCATGGTTTTCATAAATTAGATTTGCTCACTCTTCTTTGTTACACATATGAAAATAATTCAAAGAATGTTGAAATCTCATACATATAGCCAGGCATCTATCAGAAAGACTCATTATAATGTTCAAGTATTTGAGTTGATGTGCTTTTCACTTGTATAATTTGTACCTGACATTGTACTGTTCATGTTATCCATTTTATTTGCAGCTAAATTTGAGGAACGAGATGCAAATGTACCAAAGATATCAGAGCTGAATGCACGCGTCGGCAACCAGTACCCGGTAACGGACTTCATATCTCTTGAGTTTATGATAATGCACTTCTTGCACTGGAGTCTAGTCCTACCAACTGCTGCACATTTTGCTGAGTACTTCACCATCTTTGCAACTTCGTCATCTGACATGTGCAGTGCACCACCTCAGTTCACAACCTTCCAGGAATTGCGGAATGCTGCCCAGCAGTATGTGCGGGACTTCCTGGACTTGTCACTTCAGGGTAAGTGAATTAATTTAGCGAATGCTGTTTATGTTTTGTCACCAGCCTGAATCCTCTTCAGTACTGTTGACCAGATGAACTGAGTGTACACACTTCAAGCCATATTGTAGCAGTACGCTGCCATATGATGCAATAGTGGAGAAGAGCATTCCAACAGAATACACATTCACCAAATATCTGCTCCAACAAAATACTTATTTTCTAAATGTTCGCTTTTTTTCAAATGTGATTTTTGCTTTTCTGCCTGCCTCACTGGATTTATGTTCATTTACCACGTATAAAATCTACTGTTGGAAAGGTAAGGAGCATTAAGGCATGTCATTACTCAGTCAGATGTTTTTTATTTTGTTAAATGTCTATCAGCAAGTTCTAAAAACCATTATTATGCATGAACCTGTATTACAAAATCTAGATATCCTGACACCCACACAACTTTATGCTTGAGTATGACTACAGACTTAATAAGGTGTGGCTTCACCTTTTTTTCCCCAAACCACTGGCCCTACTGGGGCCTGAAAATATCTGGTCCACCACCACCTCTCCAAACCTTGTGGTTCATAATTGGGCACAATTCCAGGTTGCTGCAATAAATACTGCTTTCTGTCTATACCTAGATCTTGGCTGATGTGTTGGCCTTTCTTAGAAGTAGACTGGTTGGGATAATAATTATTAATAGATTATGGATAAATACGAACACAGTCATGGACATGTTAATAATACAAAGAATTTTTAAAGTGCTAAATAATCCTTTAAAATGCAAATTCATTGCATGTCAGTGTGGTGTATGAATGACCAAAGTGAATAATAAAGAATTGCATTTAAATTCATATGCAGTTTATTCAGTCTATTTGTTAAAGGAAATATTGTATGTAAGAGTGATGGATTTGAACTTGGTTGTCAAACTCTAGGTAAAAACATAAAGGGCTTCAACAATGTACAAATTGTTGTTGCAATCAAATAGTATTCAGTAATTAGTAACTAAATACATGGAACAGAATCCTTCTTAAGAAACTAACATTATGCTCAGCTAGTTCCCACCTTTTATTAAATCGTAGTAGTTCACAAGAACCCACCATAGTCCCTTTACTGAGCCAGATGAATCCAATTCACACATGTATTTCTCTTGAGTCATGTTAGTATTATCTTCCCTGCTATGTCTAGATATTCCAAGCAGTCTAATCCCTTCAGGCTTTCTAACCAAGAATCTGTGCACATTACTCGTCACCCCTATGCATGCTACATTTCCCACTCATCTCATACTTCATTTAATTATCCTAATAATATTTGGTGAAGGGTGAAGGGTACAAGTCATGATGTTCCTCATTATGCAGTTGTCTGCAGTCTCCTGTCATTTCTTCCCTCCTGGGTCTAAATATTCTCCTCAGAACCCTGGATTAGCACAGTCTGTTAGCCTTGTTTTCTGCACACAAATATTCCTTTTGGGTAATTTATAAATTATAATATTGAATATGACATTTATCATCATAGTCTATGCTTTAGGCTCCTGGCATGGCATATAATGATTTGGAAAACCTTGTTGGTGTGGAGTGTCAAGGACTAGATCTTGGGACAAGGGTCATATCTGGGATGTACACAAGTTGCAAGGTTTCTGTTTTTAAGCAAATGGAAAAACTTTAGGATATGTTGGAAACAGTTTCTTGAAGCCATATGAGACCAAGCAATTTTCTGTGGTTTGCTTATGTATCAATAAGATGCAGTTGTTAGTCTTCTGATGATGTTCATGTTCACCAAACAACCAACGATTACTCTTGTTTTGTACAAAGTAACATATTCCCACCTTCATACTCTTCTCTAAATTTGTATTAGAAGTGAGTATAGAACAGTGGAATGGGATCAAGACATTTTGAACATATGTGAAACTTCCCTAATTGTATGTTCCCTAGTTGTAGGCTATATTCTAAGTCAACAGATATTAAACTCCTTCTAAAGACAGGTCTCAAAACATTTATATGCACTCATTGTACATCATTACCTGTTCAGTTCATTTTTCAAAAGTGTTAAGGCTGACTTTTCTTATCTTCATTAACTGGTGTGCATCCAACCTAACATTTTGAAGGAACAAAATTTTCTGAAGACGTAAAAATGGTTCGTGTCAGAGTCTTTTGACCGAGATTATGTACATTCTGTAGAACTTTGGTTGCAGAATGGATGTCTTCAGACTTGTGCCTCTATTTTGGTGATTGTGTTCTTCACACAGAGATGCAGTGAGCTGTCATCAGTCCTTGTCTTCTCAAGTCTGTTTCTTTTATTTCTTCTTCAAATGCATGATGGAAGTTTGAAACTTCTTTAACTTTCAGTAAAGGTCTTGCTTTTCTTCTTGATTTCTTAAAAACTTTAATTTTCTAAGATCACTAACACTTCAGAAAATCAGCCAAATTTCTGATGAGAGATGGAATTTTCCCAATTAGGTTGGAGACAGTTTGTATATGGATTCTTTTATTTTAGCTGCACATTAGTGTATGCTTCAGATAAAACTGTGTGTATCATATTATACAACTGTTTGTATGAATATTGAATTGGTCTTGTGTATTTTTAGAATTATGTGTAATGAACAATGGTATTTAAGTGTACACTCCATTCTTGACTATGAGGCTAAGGTATTAATGTTATTCTCGTGTTCAGTTTAGGAATTGAAATATTGTTTTCTCTTAAATTCAGTCAGTCATTCCTCAAAATTTTGAAAAGTGGTCAAGTGGGTAGAAAAAATACAGCTATTTGATAAATGACGTGCATTCTTATTGCAGTTGTTTGCTCAATACGAGGTGTGATCGGAAAGTTTCAAGACTGTGTCAATAGAGGGCGAACCGGATGTAGTACGAGCTTCTGCCGCTAGGGGGTGCGGCCTACATTCATAGTGAATCAGTGTGCCAGCCGGCATCATCGAATTAGCATTTGTTTCTTAGTTACGGGCGGTTTGGTAGTGCATTACACCGCCCCTCCTGCGATTTCGGAATGGCGTATGCATCAAATTTTGCCAAAGACTCGCCAAAACGGCTACGGAAACCTATGAAATGCTAAAGCAAGCATTTGGGGAGTCCGCAAACTTTTGGGTGGCATTCACGTTTTAAAAATGGCCGAACCCCTGTCGATGATGACGAGCATTCTGGACGACCATCTTCGAGCACAACGCCCGAAAATGTTACGAAGATCGACGTCGTACCATCAACGACTTGTGCGACATTGTTGGGATAGGCTATGGGACCTGTCAGCTGATTCTAAAGGAAGAACTCCACATGCGACGCATCCTGTCTGAGGACCAGAAGCAGAATCGACTTCTCGTTTGTCAGGAGCCTAAAGATCTTGCAAGAACCGACCCCAACTTCCTTTCTAAGCTCCGTGTGACTTCTTCCTCTTCCCAAAGATGAAAATTCAGCTAAAGGGAAGGAGATTTGAGACGATAGAAGAGATTCAGGCAGAATCGCAGATGGTGCTTGACAGGCTGACAAAGAAAGATTTCCAGGGATGCTTCCAGGCTTGGCAGCGGCGCTGGGATCGTTGTGTTCACTCCCAGGGGAACTACGTCGAGGGTGATGGATGAATTTAATACCTGAGATAAGTGTACGGGTTTTTATACGAGTAGTCTGGAAACTTTCCGATCGCACCTAGTATGTTGAAGGTCCATGGATTGAAGTTGTAGGCTACATATTCTAATCGATTCTTTACCAATTTTTATAGTAACCGCTACCAAATTGCATGCATCAAATTCACGGAAGAACTTTACACTTTTTACCGCGCGACTCTAAAGTCACCAGTACATCGGATATAGTTTTGCTACGCGGCAAGTTCTGAGCTGACTTTACTCGCATGTGGAGTACTGTTTGTCCCGCAACGTTGTTCGACGTCTTTCATAATTCCAGCAGCCTTAAATTACTGAAATAATGATGCTGGTTCAAATTGAAACAGTGGTCTCGGGTGTCATTTTTGGAAATGAAGGCTGTTTTCTATTTTTCACACATTTTCTAAGAGCATGAATAAATGGATGTTTTAATTAAGAGACATCACAAGTTTGGTATTGTCATGCCATTACTCACACTTACTGCAGTGATTCTGAACCATTCATGAGAGGGTACACAAAATATTTTTCATACTTCATCAGAGACAGGGCAAAAGGGGGTAAGAAGTGTTGTTTTTATAATACATGATGATTGCACATAGTGTGGTATATAAATTAGTGTACTTTGAAAAGTTTTACATCAGGTCTCATCGTGTGACCAAGAGGTATGTGGATGAAAAGGATTTTGAAATGTTGCTGTCCTTTGTCCTTAGTTCATTAATTGTGACCTTCACATCCATTCCTGTTGTTTCAGACCTTATCTGATGACAGATAATACCGCTTCACTACTTGTGATCCAGAAAATAAAGTGATCCACCAGGCACTATTGTAAAAACATTTGTGACATGTGTACATACAAAGTAATATCATCTGCACAATTAATAAACATGTTTATGACATGTACCAAGTAATTAATATCATCTGCACAATTAGTAGAGATGTTATGAAGTACCTGGATACAGATTTCACTTGTCAGTCTATAATGATGAATCTGTTGTTCTCACAACAGCAAAATACATGGCAAGGTTACCATTTTATTCTGTTTGATATCTGTCTGTCTGTCTGTCTATCTATCTATCTATCTATCTATCTCTCCCTCCCTCCCTCTTAAACATCAAGATAATAAAAGTTGCATATTTTGAAATTTCAAGACCCTAACTGAATTCCACTAATCTCCTTTACTTTTAAATTAACATGCCTACCATGTTGATACTGTCAGTGGTGAGGATTATGATGTTGAAGAAAACTGGTCTGAGTTTCCTTACTTCAGTCAGATGAAAGGGCTTCAAAGAAAAAATTCTAACAAGAACAGGCTCATGCACCCTGTGAGTAACATAGAAAATGTACCCATGATACCTGTCTGTTGTGTGTGTATATGCAGTGTGTTGTAAATTGTTCAGATATTATCTATGCCAGGGCATAGCAGGAATTTGAATAAAGCTTTCAGGGGTTCACACTAATGAGGAATTATTTGGTGACTTTCTTTACATCAGTCAGTTTATGCAATTATTCTATGAGGCATATCATGTGCATCTTTGAATACCATTACTTTTAGCTTAATACCTAGTAAGATCAGATATGTATTAAGACATGTAAATGAAGTAAACAAGTCATGCATGGTAATATTCATGTAATAAGAGTTGCTGTATATGGTGATTCTCACACTGGAAAGTGACAATCTAAACATTCGTTATTTTAGTAAACCAAACAATTAGCAAAACAATTGTTCAAAAATTAAAATACTTATTCAGAGTCCTACTTGAGAAGTTAATAGTCACACAATTAGTCTAGAAATTACCAATCTTTTGTGTGATTAGAAGGTTCATTCATTACTGTAGTCAGAAGAGCTCACAAATGTTCTCTACTATGAGTCTAATGAAACCACTATTTCAGTATATCTAGTTTAATATTATATTCCATCTACACCGAGGATTCTGATGCATTATTTTCCTTCAAGATTTCTGACAAGAACTTTGTATGCATTTCTCAATTCTTCCATGCATGTTACATGTCTTAACAATATAATTCTCCTTGATTTTATCACCTCAATATTTTTTGAAGAGTACAAATGTTGACACACCTCATTATGCAGTTTTCTCCAGCCTTCTGTTAATTGACGAAAGATTCTCATGTTACAAGCCGCATCAGGTGGCTGAACAGTGAATAAACCATATACTTCTGTTATTTCCTCCTTATTATGTCCAAATAGTATCCTAAGCACCCTTGTATCAAAAATCCTCAATCTTTTTTCTTCCCTCATTGTGAGATAAAGTTCCACACCTGAACAGAAAAACAGGAAGGATTATAGGAAATGGAAATCCTTCAACTTTCTATGGGGCTTATTCCTGAAAGCCATACTTATAGAAAAGATTTGTATATTTAATCAGTGTTTTTAGGTAGAAGATGGGAAGACATATTCTAAACTGGATAGTATTAATCTTCCCCTAATTTTATCTGCTAATAAATTATTTATCAGTGCACTTTTAATTGATATTTTTGTTCCCAAATATTTTAACTTCTCCTCATTTTGGAAGAACTTATTAGCTACCTCTATATGTTGATTTTGTCATTCATTGCATGACATACATGAATTTTATTTTTATTGTGCTTACTTTTGGACCAGTCTCATAAGCCTGTTTTTAAAGAACATTGTTATGGGTTTGTGAGTGAAAAAGTGAAATGCAAGTGTCATATGTTGCACATGCTTGCATGAGATCAGTTGTAAGCAGATTATGTATTGAGGATTTGGGTTGAGAAAGAAAATGTTGTCTAATGGTATATGGACAGACTGTAAATAACAGCATTTGTTCTTTAAGTGCAGCACTGCTGAAAAAAATGGGACATGACACTGAATTGTGTGATCAGATTTATAACACAAATCACAACATGTTGTGTTTGCATAAGTATGTTTTTATTGGTACTGACAAGTAGACCCCGGTCAATTTTTTACCATTCATTCAGTTCCAGTTTTATAGTAAGGCAAATGTGTTAAAAGATAGAATAACTTTAAAACTATATTTTGAAATTGCTTATATTTATTGAGATTAGAAATATCATACATTATTTTCAGCATGTAAAACACAGTTATCACAGTTTTGCATAAAATGTGTGTGTGTGCTGAATTATTAATAATATTTGATGGCTGAATGTGCAAGTAGATTCGTATTGATTTGTTTCTGTCCAAAGCTGGCTGTAACATAACTGCTGTGTTACACACCATCTAGTATTCCTGTGGTTTTCAGTTTTCACATGGTATTGAAAGGGGTGGGTTCTCTTCTCTTCTTGACTGAATGTGGATGAAGATATCTTCTGAGCATATTACAGCTCTCACCTCTGCTGAAGCTTTGATTTTGGAAACAAAAGGTTGTAGGTCCTGTCTGTGGCCATCACTGTTGTCATAACGTTACATAACCTTACAGTATCATGAAACGTATTTTGGAGTTCAAGGTTACCATTTAATATTTCAGTGATAATGTTGTTGTTCTTCATTTCTAAGAATCATTTATTCTAAACATTCAATTTTAAATTAGGGAATTTCCATAAGGTAAAGGTATTATTCCTGGTGCTTAACTAATCACCACACCTTGAAGTTGTATAAGGAAGTGGAGGTATGCATTCCTAAATTTTTTCTAATATATGTTGCATAAGAAGCAAGACTGCTCAAATTCGTGTGGTCACAAATGTTTATTACTCAGAAAATTAATCCTGTTCAGTGAATCATTTTATGCTATGAATTTAAATACAAGTCTGCAACACATTCAGTAGACATCAGCAAGTGATATAATGGTAATAGCTTGCTGCAGCTTTTCTCTTGCCACTTCTTCTTTTGCAACAAATTCAATTGTCCGAGTTGGAGTAACCAGCAAGAAACCATTGTCTGAAAACTCTCCAGCAATACCGTTAATCTCTAACCATACAAACACTGCCACTCCATCAGTTGTAATATCAATCTCAAATGTGTTGGCTTTTGTTCCATGTTTAACATATGTTATAGTAATATTTGCTGGTTCAAAATCAATCAGTTCTTTGAGAGACCCTGGGAATAGGAAATTATCTGGACTTATGTCATCTCCACTTGTTGTAGTCAGTGAAAAATGCAGAAAGCAACTCTTCACAGCATACTCTGAACATCCAGCAGCATTCAGATGGTCCAGTAAGTTCTTACTGAACACTTTAGTGACTGATGCTTTGTTCAGTGTGTGAGTGCTTGAAGTCTCATTTATAGGAGTAAGACTGTTCCATTTATACACTGACACTGTCAGCAGTGTTTCCTTATCTTCCAGGTAGTCTGATATAAGATGAATTTCTAAGTCTCCAGCACTTGTCACAGAAGGTGAAACAAGGGCTGGTGCAAAGAATCTGCGTGCAAAGTAGTGCAGCATCTTCCACTTTCCACCAAATTCTAAAGAAGCCCAAGATGCTCCCTGCCAGATGTCATTCAGTTGCCAGTACAAAGCACCCATAGTTGAACCTTGGCCATCAGCCGTATGCAGGCTTCGTCCTCGGCGATAGAACTCCGTCGCTGTCTTGATGGACATAGCTTGGTTTATCTGAGCGAAGTAAATGAATGTTGGGAATTCTTCCTCTGGAGTTGCGTACTTTTGAAGTTGCAGATTCTGCAGTATCTCAATTCTCAATTCATTATTTCCACCGGGATGATGCTGACGATGATCAATGAACTGAGACTGCATACTAAGGTCAGAAGGTATGGAAACTTTAGATAGAGTGTTTAGTGATGGAAATGACTGGAAACCATACTCTGATGCAAATCTGGTTGTTGGATAATTATTGGGATTCCAGGCATCAGCCAGGTAGTTGTAGTAGTGCACATCTCCATATAGTGAGCTGTATGGGTTGTCAGCTATGTAGCCCTCCCTCTCAGATTCTATTCCATTTGTTGGACTTGACACAATGAATGGGCGAGTACTGTCTTCGGCCAGCACCGCAGGTCGAATTGTATCCACATACAGTTTTATGTAATCTGACTTGTAAAGACTGTAGTTGCTGCCTGAACCATACCAGTTGTCTCTGAGGGCAGCTTCATTCTCATTGTTACCTGCCCATATGATAATGCTCGGGTGATGGTGAAGGCGACGCACTTGCTGTGTTACTTCTTTCTTAACAGACTGGAGGAATTCATTATTGGTGGGGTACAGACTGCAGGCAAACATGAAATCTTGCCAGATCAAGATTCCCATTTCATCTGCAAGCTGGTAGAATAGATCTGACTCATACAGACCTCCGCCCCACACACGCAGCATGTTCATGTGAGCGACCTTGGCTGATGACAGAAGATCATAAATTACATCTGGTTCTGCTGACTTTTCTGGTAGAACATGGGAAGGAATCCAGTTGGAACCCTTGGAAAATATTGGTACATTATTTACTTTAATATAAAATGTGAGACCATTCCCTAATTCCACTGGCTCCTCTATCAGTTCAATAGTCCTGAAACCAATTCTTAATGATGCCTGACCTATCACAGTATCATTTCTGTCTTTGACATCAACTGATAAATTATAAAGCTTCTGAGAGCCAAATCCGTTTGGCCACCACAATTCAACTTTTTCCTTTGGAATCTCCAGTGTGAGAGTTGTGTAGAATTGACCAGGTTCATCCGGAAGTAGTACTGCTTCTTTAGCTACAGGATCCACATCCAGTTCCAGCCTGGCTTCAAATTTACCATACACCTTAAGGACTTGCTCTCCAGCCTCTAGAAATATTCCTACGTTTAACAGCCAAGTGTTATCAGATAATGTTGCACTTGTTGTCACTTCCCTGATCACAGCTTCATCAAATGCTTCCAGTACCACTTCCTTCCAAAGGCCAGCAGAAGGAAAAGCAGGTCCCCAGTCCCATGAAAATGATGCCTGCATCTTGCGGAGGTGGTTTGCATGACACTCCCCACGATATTCATCTGGAACACATGTGGGTGGCACTGGATAGTGCAGGGCTTGTTGCTGGTATCGTTCTTTGGCTGCGGTTATTGATGATTCAAATCTCACCTCAAGTTCATTGTTTCCACTTTTGATAACTGACTTGACAGGGAATGAATAGCGAACAAACATATTATCAGTGTTGCCAATGTGCTCATCATTGAGGTAGACTGATGCAACAGTGTCAACTCCATGAAAAACTAGAAAGAGTTCCTGCTTCTCTATTAACTCTTCTTCCACTGTGAAGTTTGTACTATAAGTCCAGTTTTCCATGCTCACCCATCGATATGCAATGTCATTGAAGCGATAGTAGATGTCTCTCTCCAGTATACCTGCTGCCCTCAAGTCTGTGTAGATACCACCAGGAACTACAGCTGGTACTTCAATATTTCCATTTGCATTTCTGACTTTCCATGTTCCACTCAGTGAGGAATCAAGACGAAGTGTAGTTGCTCCACCATAAGTGAAGGCGCTGAACAGTGCAGCAGTCAGCACTATGATTGTGACCATGATCCTGCAGCAACAGATATGAAGAAAATGTATTAGCAGTTTCTCTTTTATTTGTTTAATGGGCCTTGAACTGTATCAGTATTATGTTTGAAATGAAAAAATGCACCAGAAAAACACTTGAAATAAATTCTTGTAATGAGTCTTTTCTCTGTTCTGTAGAAGTACTGACACATTACAAAACAAGCCTGTGCAGAAAGTATGGTATCTGCAGTGTGACTGATTAGCTGTACAACAGTAGAGAGGTATCTGCTATGTGATACAACAACCCAGAAGACCAATGTGTATGTGAAGTCTAATGTATGTAAACTGGCAGAGTGTACACTTCTCTGCTTTTGTTGTGAGGTGTCCAGTACATGACTTCTAATTACAGAAGTGTGCCTGATACCACTGAAGCCATCGTTGGTAGCAGCAGCATGCATTGCCGCAGCGAGACAGACATTACAGCTGTCTCCAAAATGGACAAGTGTTCTGCAGAATGTGACAGAGTACCAGTTTCTGGATTTACTGCCTTGTGTTACAGTACTTATCAGGTAAGGGATTGTTTTACTAAACGAGACTACTCTACTGGTTGGCCACTTACCACAGGCATAGTACACAGTTTGATGATGGATGAAGTCCTACACATTAAGTGTGCCTATATGCATTTTCATATTGTTTCCAGATCTTAAATTGTCACACAGAAACTGTTTTACATCGTTTTACATCTATGGATTTTCATGCATTCTTTGCACAAAGTGAACACATTTTTGGAAGGGCATGCCAGTTGGTCAGTCTGTGTGCATGTTTCATTTCCAAAACTACTGAACAGATTTCAGTTACATTTACTATTGGGGTGAGTTTAATTTTCGTTTGAATTGGTTCGGTATAATACTTTACACAATGCTCAAATCAAAGTTTCAAAATCCATCAAAAATGGGTGTGTATAATAACTGTTACATGACATAATGTAGGCACAGTGCTATCTACATGCCATTTTTTTAATATTATCTCCCATCTATGCCCAGTAAGTCTTCCAAGTGGTATTTTTACTTTAGACCTTCAAACTAAAATTCTGTACACATTTTTCATCTCCCCCCGTGTCATATTTCTACTTTTATGGCACAACAGCCCAAAGCCGAGCCTTGGCCTCCTCCCATTTGGGAGGTTTCTTTGTCTTTGAAGTGTGCATTTATGAGTAGTGAGTGACAAGCCCACCACCTCTGCAAAATTTCTACTCAATCCCGATTTGTCTGCTACAGCCATCTAGTAGTAAATCAGGAGAGACTTGGGTGAGAAATGGCTGCTGAATTTGCTTGCGAAAAATCTCGTTTCATGTTCATAAGGTACTTTTACATGCCATAAATCTATGACATGGGACCACCAGCTTTGCTTGCCCTCTGAAGGAAGTTGTGCTACAGATTTTTATCACCCTTAAAATTCCATCGACCTCGGCCGGGTTTGAACCCGCAAACCTTGGGTCCAGTGGAGAGCACACACTAACCACTAGTCCACCAAGGGCGACCCCCCATGTGTCCACAAGAGCTTCTTCTATATATCTGTAGTTACCCTAGATATTTGATGGCCTTTTTCATCAATCAATTCCTTGCCATGTGCATAATGTGTGTAGTATGATTAGATTTTCACCTGTACTTATTTATCTGCAGTAAACAAAACATGAGGAAGAATGAAGTAGTGTGCAAATCACAAAGAATGTATTCAAAAACTGTTTATACTCCAGTAGTGTACCTTTATATAATAAAAAGTTGTGTAATATACTTTCACAGTTATGACAGTCAAAGGAACAAAGAAAGGGCTTTTATATGTGTATTCTGTTTACCTCTGCTAGGAAAGCGGTTATACTGTGTGATGAGAAAAATGGTAAATGCTATTTTAGAATAAAAAAGTGTGTACAAATATATCTTTACAATTTTGTTTTGTTGCAGAAAATAAATAATAAAATTCTGTTGCTTACAGTTGAGGGAATAATGGGAGTTGAATAGACTTTCTACAGTAACATAATTACCTAATTTTCATTAACTCTTATATTGTTCACTTTTGTAAAACATATTTATCAATTTAAAATTAATAAATTGTTCAAATAAAATGCATCTGTGCTGATAGCTTTCAAACATGCAATTCAGCATATTCATTTTCAGTGTTACAAATGTTACTTTTCTTTTAAAAAAACATGAAAAATTATGTTTCCTCATACTGATACCTTTCTTTCTAGAAAAGAAATCACTGTTTGTTATAACAAGTTTTGCATATGCATAGCATATTGATAATGGAATTTCTTTGTCCACCAGTAAAAGTGGAAAGATGATCGCCAACAAAAAGAGAAAGTTGACTGAATCACCAGACCATGGCTATGCGACAGAGGACAGTATGTCTGACATCCCAGAAGTCTCAAGTGGTAAACAGGGCCGGAATTGCACTTAACTTACGGCTCCTGACTGGATAATACAATCTTCTGTCTCAGGTTCACAACATTAGTCATAGCTAGAGAGAAAGTTTGGTAACAGATAATGTTAATCAGTGATGCTCAAATTTGTGCCTCTGAATCTGTGATAACACCTTTTTGTGTTTTATGAATTTATTGATGTTAAATGACCAACAGAGCCATGAAGAAGTGTAATATGGTATTTGGCCGTTTATTGAAGCTCCCTATAAACAAATCCTCACTTATTTGTGTCCACGTTATTTGTTAAATGACATTGTGTTTGTTAATAGTGGTTTATACTATTTCATAAAAGGTTCAATAAGTCAGATATGTTTACAAGTTGATTGAAGTATGCTGCAGACATTTGTTTATCATGTGAGATACTTCCTAGTGTTTCTGAAGAATAGTTCCTGAGAAATAAGACTGATTCTTTCTTTTTTTTATTTTATAATAAGTTGTAAATTAATATGGCATCAATTACTTAAAGTTGAATCATATATTTTGTTACTCTCATGTTTCACAAGCCATTTAGTGTTACAAAGGAGGACCTTCCCTGTTAAGAGTAAGTTATTCATGTACCAACATGCATTCCATTCTTGATTTGATACATTCAGACTTCTTCCTCGTATACACTGTCCATTGATTACACAAATACCTCATAAGGGACATGCTGTGATTTTGTTAAGCTACATTTTGCATGGGTAAAGATAATTATTTTCAGACTATTCTTGAAGTGACACTTATTTGTTACTTCTAAATTATTTGTAGACAGGTGGTATTATACATACTTATATTTGAGGTTGTTCCCAATAAATTCAGTCATGACTTGGGAACCTGAAGAGATTTTCTATTATGTATAATGTCTGTTGTTAAACAAATTAAGTTTCAGAAATGTAAGTACCTGTTTCATATTATGGGCACATATAAAGCTGTGTATTTTGATTAATTACTCACTTGTGTAGCATCTCTGGCAAAAATGAGGTTATGTTCACATATAACCGTTAACATTTATGTGTAATTTGGAATGTAAAACTGTAACAAATAAAGTATCAAGTTTTTACTGTTGTTGAACTGCCAATTTATCATTCTTTAGTGTATTATAAAATCACATTTGTCATATTAAAATTAACTAGAATTAAAATGTTTTGTCTATGCTGATATTATAAAAATCACATTTGTCATATTAAAATTAGCTAGAATTAAAATGTTTTGTCTATGCTGAGGTTTGTGTAAAGGTTATTAACACATGATTCTCAACCACTGATCCTTATTTGATTTTCATCATTCCATACATTATTTGTTGAGAGACAACAGCTTGGTACAGTTTCAACATTCTCTTACCACATATTTGATGGCATTGTAACAATATCACAAAGTAGGTATATTCATACACAGTCAAACCCTGTTAGAGTGCCACACTTTGTCTATAACCAACAGTGACATTAAAGTGGAGCTTGCAGTAAATTGGATTCTTTTTTATTTTGTGGTACATTGTTATTTATTAATGTATTAAAGTGCCATATTGTTATAAAATACTGTAGTTACAATCTCTTGGTAAGAGAAAGGCAAAATTGTTGAGGGTTTCCGTGCTTAACAGCTGTGTAACAGTACCATCTTATACAGTAGGTCTATTCATCTTTAGTATAATCTCATTTTTGTCGCATTCATCTGCTGTCTAGGTAGTTTTGCCTGTTTTGTAATAACTTCATCAGCTTATATCCACTTGCCTTATCCAGATAACCAACAGTTGCATCCTCAGGGTCTTCTAGTTTTGCATCCTACAATCATTTCAAACTTTCACTTGTCTTGTACTTCAATTTCTTGTTTCCACAGAGAATATCTCTAGCACAGTGCTGACTGATTGGTGAGTTTACACCATGAAAGGGAGAAATAGTTGACAATATTTTACTGTCCTGCACCAGGATATTGTTCTCTGTAGACATTTTCTTTCTGCCAACACTTAACACTACCCTTTCCCTATGTCACACAAATGCAGTTGGCTTTGATTATATGCACTTGTATCTGTGCGTACTGTACTTAACACCTGTACTGTGTAGTCAGCCTGGCAATTGTGTTTAAACTGAAGTGTGTTTATGTACTGTATGATAGTTAATCAAACACTTTAATTATGGAAGAGGCCACTAACCCCGTCAAACAGCAAGTAATGGGAGCATCTGTAGCTGTTCTATGAGAATTATTTAGATTTACCTGTTACTGTTCAGAGCTTATTCTCAATAATTTTTCCATTTTAAAATTAACACCCCTCTCAGTAGCAGGTTCATTTACTGTATTTCGAATTTTGCCATTTATTATTAACCCAAAATAACCCATTTCCCTCCCCAGAATGCTGTAGGTGGTTTCTTAGTATACAATATTTTTATAACTTCATAATCCATGGAATTGTCTGTATGGCCAGTAGAAACAAAATGGTGTGGTGCTGTATCACACTTTATTATAATGCTAAATAGTACATTTCTATTGTCACATATGTTGGCAAATGGTGGCTGATGGGGGTGGTGCTTTACCAGGGGACTTCCCTTGAAATTACATAGGGGATTTCTATTCTGAGGTTTTCTTGTTACAGTGTGAGGGTGGTGGAACATAGAGGGGCATTGCATTGGGCTTTGACTGCATTTCTTGTCGATCTGATGCACTGAAGATAAAATATCTCTGAACCACAGCTAGAGGCAGCATGTATGGAAATTTCAGCGATTTGTTGGAACATTCAGATTTCAGAACTTTTCATATTGATTGTCATGATATCAGTGTCATAAATTCTGATAACAAAATGCAGAAATTAAATGAAAATTTTTCCAAACATTTTACAACATAAATCACAATTATAACCTTGTACTGAATAGTTTCCTTAACAATGGTATATTGAAGGAACCCTTGAGATTGACTTATAAGAAGTTGAAACATGTTGGAAATTGTATTTAATCTGGATTACTGAGTTTTTGGGCTTTGTCCATCATCTGGTATTGTAGAACTGTCAGTAATTGGAATTTTGAGGTAATTAAACAAGTTAAATTAATTCCAGGAACCTTAAATATTACACATGTAGTTCTGATTTTTTTTTATTGTTATTGTTGAACTCACCAGATCAGGTCAGTTCTGATGTGCCTGGTTCGTCTCCAAACCCCTGCAGGTTTAGTTGGTGTGATCACAGCCCTGACGTCGTTCCAGAGTATAAACCTGTGAAGATAATCTGTGTCATTGGTGTATATATATATATATGAATGGCTAAAGGGGCGCGGCCTGTGTGTGTTCTGCTCATCCCCACCCTAGAACGCACAGTCTCTTCCAACCGAGGTATATAGCTTCCCCTTCTAACTTCCTTGTCCCTAGAGCTGATTTACGTTGTCAGTGTTAAAATTCTCAGCACGCAGACATTTGTCATTTGAAATCCAGATTACTGAAAGTGAGATAAAAGCAATCTTTAATCTCCATAACTAACGCGCCAGTCCATATATTTTATGGAGTTCTAATACATACCTGTCAGCATGCAGATATCAGGGTAAGAGAAAGGAACAAGAAACCGATGGCCAATCAGAAGTCTTAATAGGTCAACAATAGAAGTCTCTGCGACGCTTTACAGATTATCGGGTAATGTTTTGCAGCAGATCTGTAGCTCCGTTGTCAGGTGACACGTTGTACAAACACGTGACGGTCGGGAACTGTTATGCAGTTCTTTAACCAGTGGACTGTGAAGGGAATTGATGTGAGCTGTAAAAATGTTTGAATCTGCTGAATAAAAGAAGTCGGTATTCAGAAGCTAAGGGTAGGAGGATGGGATGCTGTACAGTCCACGGGCAAGTGACAAACTATGAACTTAAGTTAAAAGTCCATCCTCATTTCAGCGTCAGTTGTTCCACAAATTATGCGTATGTATCCAGGGGTGGAGTGTTCGTGTTAACCGAAAAAGCCCGGCTGACATTTTAAATAAAGAAAAATATTTTCTTTTGTCTCACTTTCGTTGTTCAGTGGTACTACATGCATTGGAACACAGCAGAACCGTTCAGGTAAAATGCATCGTTACCTCCAGCTGGGCGTTCTCATTGATACGCTCGTTGCGATAGTGACGCAACGGAACTTACTTATAGCTTCACACGCCTCTCGTTTCATGCTTCGCGATTATGATTAACCCAAAATAACCCATTTCCCTCCCCAGAATGCTGTAGGTGGTTTCTTAGTATACAATATTTTTATAACTTCATAATCCATGGAATTGTCTGTATGGCCAGTAGAAACAAAATGGTGTGGTGCTGTATCACACTTTATTATAATGCTAAATAGTACATTTCTATTGTCACATATGTTGGCAAATGGTGGCTGATGGGGGTGGTGCTTTACCAGGGGACTTCCCTTGAAATTACATAGGGGATTTCTATTCTGAGGTTTTCTTGTTACAGTGTGAGGGTGGTGGAACATAGAGGGGCATTGCATTGGGCTTTGACTGCATTTCTTGTCGATCTGATGCACTGAAGATAAAATATCTCTGAACCACAGCTAGAGGCAGCATGTATGGAAATTTCAGCGATTTGTTGGAACATTCAGATTTCAGAACTTTTCATATTGATTGTCATGATATCAGTGTCATAAATTCTGATAACAAAATGCAGAAATTAAATGAAAATTTTTCCAAACATTTTACAACATAAATCACAATTATAACCTTGTACTGAATAGTTTCCTTAACAATGGTATATTGAAGGAACCCTTGAGATTGACTTATAAGAAGTTGAAACATGTTGGAAATTGTATTTAATCTGGATTACTGAGTTTTTGGGCTTTGTCCATCATCTGGTATTGTAGAACTGTCAGTAATTGGAATTTTGAGGTAATTAAACAAGTTAAATTAATTCCAGGAACCTTAAATATTACACATGTAGTTCTGATTTTTTTTTATTGTTATTGTTGAACTCACCAGATCAGGTCAGTTCTGATGTGCCTGGTTCGTCTCCAAACCCCTGCAGGTTTAGTTGGTGTGATCACAGCCCTGACGTCGTTCCAGAGTATAAACCTGTGAAGATAATCTGTGTCATTGGTGTATATATATATATATGAATGGCTAAAGGGGCGCGGCCTGTGTGTGTTCTGCTCATCCCCACCCTAGAACGCACAGTCTCTTCCAACCGAGGTATATAGCTTCCCCTTCTAACTTCCTTGTCCCTAGAGCTGATTTACGTTGTCAGTGTTAAAATTCTCAGCACGCAGACATTTGTCATTTGAAATCCAGATTACTGAAAGTGAGATAAAAGCAATCTTTAATCTCCATAACTAACGCGCCAGTCCATATATTTTATGGAGTTCTAATACATACCTGTCAGCATGCAGATATCAGGGTAAGAGAAAGGAACAAGAAACCGATGGCCAATCAGAAGTCTTAATAGGTCAACAATAGAAGTCTCTGCGACGCTTTACAGATTATCGGGTAATGTTTTGCAGCAGATCTGTAGCTCCGTTGTCAGGTGACACGTTGTACAAACACGTGACGGTCGGGAACTGTTATGCAGTTCTTTAACCAGTGGACTGTGAAGGGAATTGATGTGAGCTGTAAAAATGTTTGAATCTGCTGAATAAAAGAAGTCGGTATTCAGAAGCTAAGGGTAGGAGGATGGGATGCTGTACAGTCCACGGGCAAGTGACAAACTATGAACTTAAGTTAAAAGTCCATCCTCATTTCAGCGTCAGTTGTTCCACAAATTATGCGTATGTATCCAGGGGTGGAGTGTTCGTGTTAACCGAAAAAGCCCGGCTGACATTTTAAATAAAGAAAAATATTTTCTTTTGTCTCACTTTCGTTGTTCAGTGGTACTACATGCATTGGAACACAGCAGAACCGTTCAGGTAAAATGCATCGTTACCTCCAGCTGGGCGTTCTCATTGATACGCTCGTTGCGATAGTGACGCAACGGAACTTACTTATAGCTTCACACGCCTCTCGTTTCATGCTTCGCGATTATGGCTCTTCGGTCTACGGCCCTTTTAACAGAACAGTTTGTGTTACAGTACTGCCGGAAACTAAATACAAAGTTGAAAACCTGCGAACTTGGTATCAAGAACAAAATTAGCTTAACGTCGTCTTAGATATTTTACTATCAGGCTCGATTATAGCCATTTTAGTGAAACGGACTACCTCGTTCATAACATATGACAAATACTGAAGACCTTTCGCTGACCACAGGCGAAGAGGATGTGATGGGATTCTTAACATCCCCCTGCGCGCATGTTCAGCAAAAATGGTATTTGAAGGGGAGCCCAGGGCAGAACGGGGAACTTCATTTTTGGAGGCATGTGGAAGGGACAGTAATAAAGATAAACACATGGAGGAACCTTGTGTGGATTTGAAATTTATAATGAGTTATTAGTTTAGTTCTAAGAGTTGCAGTTTTTTAAATATTAATTTCCTTACAAGAATGTAACTTGCCCAATATTGCCCCGTGCCCGGGGCAAGACGGAGTATGGTTGATATATGTTTGAAAAAGTTGTTAGAAGACACAGATTATCTAATAATTATGACGTAGGATATACAAATGATTTAGTATACAATGTAAAATGTCGAAACTTTACACATCTGGAATCTACTTAGGCCTAACGCAGACGGCACACGTGTGAACCTCTTCATCACCGTGACTATCAACACCTGCACATGAGTAATGGGCTCATTTCAAGCAAGACGAATACCGGATACACCCTTCAATAGACTGCAAATAGACTTCGCCACAATATAGGCACTTGTATTTTATCCTCTACTCTGGGTACATTATTTCAGAATCTGTAACCAGAAAATGGCGCTGTCTGACATGACGTGGCCCTGAGCTGTACACTAATGGTATTTAACCGGTCCCGATAGATCGCAACGCATTGCAGACGAAATAAATCTGATGCCCCGTTCTGCCCTCGGCTCCCCAACATCTTTAAAACTCATTCAGATACACATTCGAATCTGAAAATCACCACTCATGACAAATGACGACTGTGCTGGTAATGGTGGCGATACTAAATACCTATGAAACATCGGTCAGCTTATAGTAGACTACACAGTGCAATATCCCAGGAGGCTGTCAGTTTCAGAGGTCTTGAAGTAAACATATTCCATTAATATTCTCGCTTAACTTTAAAAAGTCAACTTGACTGATTTTTTGGAACTTTACTGCAGTCTTGAAATTTAATTCTTGGAATTATAATTGTTATCTACATTTTAATAATATTCTCCGGCATTATGTATCATTGATTATTTAGCTCACGTGGTGCTTCAAGTGTACAGGACGACGAGTCTCTGGTAGTGTGTAATTTGTCTGTGTTACAATGTCTTGAAAGACGCTTAATTTCTGTTAGAGCATCCAACCTGATTACCATGTTAAGCTTACAATTTATACTACTCACTTTTCTTCATTGTTCTCTGTCTTCTGAGCTGTGATTTTGATCCAGAGAGGGTTCCTGAAAATTACGTTTCAGGGCTGCATGAATCTTCAAACAACAGCCCTCATAGAATGTGTGCTTGAATCCAACCCAAAATATTCCCCGTAGAGTGTAATTTAACATCCACCAATAATGGAAATGAATTCATATTCTGTCATACTTTTAGAGGACAGCATAATGTATGTGGAAATGTGCTTTCATAAGACACTGCTAAAATACGCACTAAATCACACATAGCTCCAAATGATGGCCGTTGCAATGCCAAGTGATTATTAAGGGGGTTGTCCACAAAAGCAGCGGTGCTATCTGCAGACCTATTCTCCTCCTCCAAGTCATGGATGGTCTGTTCCGGCTTCTATGAATTCCACCTTCTGCGTGGTCTTCCTTTGAGCCTATACCAAAGTACCTGCTTTGGCACTCGTCCTTCTTCCATCCTTTCCACATGTTCAAGCCCACCTCGTCTGTGTCTCATTCTGTCATTAATTGAAAATATTCCTAATTACTTCCTTGTTTCTTAATTCTTGGTTTTGTCCAATCATGTACATTCCTTCACAGACCTTAAAAATCGCACTTCTGCTGTTTTTGTAATTTTGTATATTTGTTTTTCTCATTTTATAACATTCACAGGTAAAGCAATCATTTGTTAAAGTTTTATTTGTTTAGTTTCCCGAGTTTTCGCTTTACGTGTTCGTCTGATAGTGCCACACATATTTTGGAATTTTTTAATCTTATTACCTATGTCTGCTTCCTCCAGGAATGTTATGTCATAGCCTAGATATTTAAAGTGGTTGACCTGTTCAAGAGTTTTATCTTCTATTACAATTTTTGTTCGAACTGGATATTTCCCTTTAAAAGCCATTGTTTTAAGTTTTATTTATTGGGATCTTCGAATTGTAGTCTTTGCATATATTATTTAAGTGAAATAAAGATCTTTGCAGTTCATCTTCGCCTTCTTGAACTATAATTTGGTCGTCTGCAAAAAGCAATGTATTCAGGGCAACCGTTTCCTTTAACCATGTCCTTGGATTACTTCTCGTCTTCCATTCTCGGATGACATCATCTAAGCAAATGTTGAGTAAGGTTGGGGACAAACTACAATCCTGAAGTACTCCCTGGTTAATTTTAATATCTTTTGAATATCTTCTTTCCATATCTAAAATGACTGCAGTGTTTTGGTATAGAGACCTAATAGCACTTATTAAATGTCGTGGGTAGCCTTTCCTCTCCATAATTTGCCAGAGTATTGGACGATTTACTCTACCGAAAATATTTTCATAGTCTATAAAAGCAACAAGTGTCTCAAGATTAAATTAATTGGATTTTTCTGATTTGTCGAATTGTAAAAATATCCCTGCAAAATCGTTCCTTTCTAAAACCATTCTGCTCTTCCAAAATTAGGACATCTGAGATATTCATAACCCTCTTATTTAATATTTTTGTATATATTTTATAGCTAGTGACTAGTAAACTATGTCCCGGAAGTCTCAGTTTTAAGGATGTGCCTCCATACTCGAAGACTTCTGAGTTAACACCATCCAAGCCAAGGGCTTTTCTATTCTTCAGTCCTTGTATTGCTAATTCTAGTTATTCCGTACTAATTTAATCTACTGTCTTCCCTGTGTGGTCTTCTTTTGTTGCATTCCCCTCACCAGGATCATACCGTAAGTTTTTGTAATGTTCTATCCAGCAAGAAAAACTATAATTTCAAAAATGACCAGAATCTCTTCTTAGTTATTAAAACAACAAACTGATAGTCACGCAATTAATATATCTCATGTTTATTAGTGGGTGAACAGCATGATCGTGTGCAGAATATTGGAACAGTTAGGATTTTCGAAGGTCTGTGAGAGGTGGGACCACGGAGGCCATCACAAAATTGAGGTGGACAGTGTTGCCACACACACCATATAGTCCTGATCTGGCACCTTCAGAGTATCACCCGTTCGGTAAACTGAAAGACATTATTCGTGGGACAAAGTTTGAGGACGATGACTCCCTTGTGGCTCTAAAGCTCTCATCCTGAGTTTTACCATGCGGGCATACATGCTCTTACTCCGAGGTGGCAAAAGGAGAGACGGAGACTACATTCAAAAGTAAATTTTTTTTCCTAAAGGCTGTACCTGCCCACTGTGTGAATAGGAAAGTTGTAAAATAAAAACTGAATTTAAAAATAAGTGGTACATTACTTTTGGAGTGACCCTCGTAGAATGATTATATAAAACTAAAAATGCAAATTAGAAACTGAATAAACTTTAATATCATACTATTATCCATAATTGAGTATTTTTTAGTGATCAGTTAATACATAACAACAAATTTATACATATACATGATTTAACGTCCTTATATTTATTTTATTTAATAGGTTTTACAATGTCATGGACATCTTCCTGCGCTCATTTCAAGCACATCGAACAGAATATTTAAATACAATTTTTCTGTCCTTCCAATATCTTCTTCCATTTTATCTTCTTCCAACCCTTTTTTCCCACATCACTCCATTTTCCCCTGTCTTCCCAGTTACCTTCTTCCAACCCTTTTTTCCCACATCATTCTTGATATTCCCAGCATCCAAGTCATTTTAGGCCCTTCCTTCTTCCTCGTGGATACCACTCTAATACTGCCTTACAGAGCCTGTCATCTGTTGTAGTCTTTACATGTCCATACTATTTTAACTGCTTGGTTTTTATAAAGTCTACAATAGAATTTTATACATTCAATATTTCCTTAATCACAGTATTCTTAATTTTGTCCATTCTAGAAATCCTGGCAGAACGACGCCAAAAATCCATTTCTGTGGAATATAATTTTTAGTCTGTCTTTGACTTTAAATGTAATGTTTCTGCCCCATATGTAATTGCACTCTTAACTATTGCATTGTATATAATTGTTGTCTTTGTTATAATATCCTGATCACACAAAATACTGTTCAATTTTGATATAACTGTTCTTCCCCTATTTATCTTTCCACGACTTCAGTCCTTAGTGATTTTAATTACCAAATATATGTAATTATTACAATCTTTAACTTTTCTTTTCTATCTTCCAAAATGAAATCCTTTGATTGTTTCCAGATTGCCATATTTTTTCCCCCCAGATTTATCTTAAATCCCATTTCTCATATTTTTCCATTAACTTTCTTGTCATATATTCCAAATCTTCGTAGTCCTCTGCAACTAATAACTTATCATCAGCAAATAATAAAACTGTGTCATCTCTGATCATTAATCCCATATTTGAACATTTATTCTTCCAGTTTTTTAGGGCCATCTGAAAATATGTCTTAAACAGTGTAGGTGATAGACAACCTTTTCCTGAACTCTTGCTGACAAAAATTCAGTTGAAAGCTTTTTTGTCAATTTTTTATTGGTTGAATGATAGTTTTATTTATACTATTTTCTCTTACAACCTCCCACATTTTGGTCAATGGCACATTATTTTATGCCTTTTCTAGGTCCCACATATGGGAAGTGCAATGATTGTCCTTTGATGTATACATATTGGAAGTGCAATGATTGTCCTTTGATGTATATAAATAATTGAATGACCATTTATGTAGACCTTTGTACATGTTTATTTGCCTTTGTGTTGAGTGACTTGTACTCATATTTGTATCAATTTTTGTGTGACATATTCTACATCCTTCTCACCAGTTACCTGAAGCATCTATGGAATATAAATATATACATTCTAATTCTGATTAATTAATTATAGATTTCAAAAAAAGCATATGACTCTGTTAAGAGAGAAGTGCTATACAATATTTTCATTGTATTTGGTATACCAAAGAAGCTAGTGAGTCTAATAGAAATGTGCTTAAGTAAAACCAGTAACAAAATTCATATAGGTAAATATTTATCTGAGTCATTTTCCATCAAGGGCGGTCTGAAACAAGGAGATGCTTTGTCTCCATTGCTCTTTAACTTTGCGCTAGAATACGCCATCAAGAAGGTCCAAGATAGGCAGGAGAGTTTGCAATTGAATGGGACACATAAGCTATTGGCGTATACTGATGATGTTAATTTATTGGGTGACGATATACATACAATGAAGAGGAACACAGACGTTTTACTAGAAGCTAGTAGAAAGGTGGGGCTAGAAGTAAATTAAAAAAAAACTAAGTACATGTTAGTATCCCATCAGCAGAGAGGTGGGCAATATTATCTTAGGGTGGCTAATAAATCCTTTGAAAGTCTTACAAAGTTCAAATATTTGGAAACAACAATAAGAAATCAAAATAATATTCATGTGGAAGTTAGGAGGAGACTAAACTCCGGAAATGCTTGCTACTTCTCAGTTCAAAATATTTTTTCTTCCCATCTGATTTCTAAGAAACTGAAAATTAAAATATGCCTTTTGTTTTGTATGGGTGTGAAACATGCTCTCACACTCTGAAAGAGGAATATAGATTGCAGGTGTTTGAGAATAGGGTGTTGAGGAGGATATTTGGGCCTAAGAGAGAAGACGATGGGGCATGGAGAAAACTGCATAATGATGAGCTTAAAAATGTACCACTCCTCCCCAAGTTTAGTCAGGGTGATTAAGTCAAGAAGAATGAGATGGGTAGGGCATGTGGTGCACATGGATGGGGCAGGAGGTGTGCACCAGGTACTGGTTGGGAAGCCTGAGGGGAACAGACCGCTGGGGAGACCTAAACGTAGATGGGAGGATAATCTTAGACAGCATCTATGGGAGATGCGAGTTGAAGGAAACTGAATTTTGATGGCCCAGAACTGGGTCCGGTGGAGGGCTTTGGTTAGTTCGGTGAAGAACCTTCGGGTTCCGTAAGCCATATAGTTAGTTAATTCTGAAATTATGCGCGAGTCTGGCCCCCCCACGTTTGGCTCAATAGTGAAAAACATTCATATGCCAAGACTGCACAATATTGTAATTCTTGCCTTATGTGTGAAGTCTTGTAAAGGAACTACGGAAGCATGTTACATGCCACTATTAAGACCAAATAACGAGAAAAGATTTTAATGAGCATTTCAAAATTCTGTTGGGGTGGGAACCTCCGTTATCACAAAGATTATAGAATTCTTTGTGTTACTCCGTGACGAAAACTCTAATAATTTAGATACTTTGGGTGTTAGCAGGAACTTACTATTTCACTACAGTCTTTATTTCCCTTACCTTTATGAGTGTGTTGGTTTGTGATAATGATATTGGCAATCTATGTTGGTCTTATCAATGTTGGCAATAATGTCAATAATCTATGATATGTGTTAGCGTATGGTGTGTGAAAGAGGGTATGAAAAAGATGAGGTTCGCTAATTATAAGTTAACAGATTTAAGCAAAATATGTTTCTATGATGGGCTGCGTGTACACCATCTACGTCAAGTTTAACTACTCCTGAACAAACTGCATAACTGCTGAGGATTTATTAATGTTATGTTTGTGATTAGGTTTGTTGAGTAACTTTCGTGAAATACGTTTGTAATAATATTGTATTTTTAGGTACTTTCTGAATGTGATGTATTGTATCCTTGACTTGTTGCACACCCTGCTAGCTTTGTTCTATGGAATGGATCGCTCTTACAACTAAGAAATATACATTTAATATGTCCAAAGAATAGTAAGTGTCGAACTTACGGAACACAGGAAACAGCTGGGCTATCGAACGCCAGATAAATTGTCTTGTGTTATTCAGGGTCTTCGCGAATTTTCATGTCAGGATTTGGTTCCAGGTTAACGTATTCAAAATTTGGTAAGTTTGATGTAGTAATAAATATGTTGGAATTGTTATATACCGGTTTTAATATTGCCATACTTCTTTTGTGTTAGTGAAGGTTGAAGAAGACATCTCGAGCTTTTTATTACATAGTTTAACCAGCTACTTTTAAAGAAAATGCCACATGAAAAGGTGTCTGCATGTTGTGTTACACTCATGTAGGCCCAGACAGAATCAGTTTCAATGCGAGTTTTGAAATGTATTAAAGTTGTTGCATTGTTCATATAAACGATTACCTTTTATGCCAGTTGTAATCTTTTTTGTAGGTTTTGTGTTTAAACTGTGTGGACTTTTTCGCACGATGTGTGATGCACCGCCTCCAGTAAGTAAGGAAGGAGACAGCAAGAAAAGACCATTACAAGAAGATTCTGATAACACAGATTTAAAGAAACAGTGTGTAGAACCAGATAGGGTGAAAAGAAGAAAAGTTGCATTGCTGTTCGGCTATTCAGGACAAGGATATTTAGGAATGCAGAGGTTAGTCCTTGTCACCAGTATGAAGTGACCATTGGATTTTACAGATTGTTTAGGCTGGGGATAGGAGATCATTGCCTTTTGTAGACTGTTGACGTATTATATGTAAATATGAAATGATTGTTTATGGTAGGGAAATGAAAATATTGTGAATGGTTGAGTGCTGGGGAGGTAATGATGATGACCTTCTGGCTGTGTCTGTTTTAAGATACCAGACGATTGCTATGGAGATGTGAAATGAATTCATGTTGTGTTCTTCCTACTATGAATTACTTGGATTGAGTGACTGATATTTGATTTTTTAATAGCTTTTTTTTACTGCATTGGTTATATTAAACAGTAAAACTCAAATGGGAAGTGTGTGGAGTCTCAGAGGGAACATGCAGGTAAGCTTTGTTTTGTACAGACTGTGGCAGTAGGTGATCAGTGACCAGGTTTATGCTCCAGCCACAATTAAAATTAAAATTTGTTATGAAGATGTGCATTGACAGAGGATGGAACCCAGTGGAAGGCTTTGTGATGAAGGTACAAGACACATGACAGTAGGGAGTTTCTTGGTCAGTTGAATGGCTTTCATCTGCTTAGGGAGGCTCTATGCCTTGGGACCTATGAATATTATTGTTGTTTTACAGAAACCCTGGCATGAAGACAATAGAAGAAGATCTGTTGACTGCCTTACTAAAAGCAAATTTTATTAATGAGGAGGCTTTCAGTACACCTCAATTGATTCAGTTTCAACGAGCAGCTCGCACTGACAAAGGTGTGTCTGCTGTACGCCAAGTAGTCTCTCTCAAGTTGCGTGAGTAAATTTATGTACCATATATTCTTTTCAGGAAATTTTGAGGTTATTGTGAGAGGAATTTGTTTCAACTGTTTATTATTTTTGTAGCAGAAGATGTGAAGGTGGAAACAATCAATAGCCACTTACCAGCGCAGATTCGCATATTGGAAATTAAACGTACAACTAAAGGATTCAACAGCAAGAGTTCATGTGATGCTCGAACATACTCATACATGTTGCCAACATTTGCATTTGCACCATCAGGTGTGGAACCCAGTGAATCTTACCGTATCACATCAGAAGTGATGGACAACGTTAGGTCTACACTCAGAGGTTTCGAGGGGACTCACAATTTTCACAATTTTACTTCACGAAAGTATGTGTTGCACAAATTATGGTTCCATGTACTAGAACTTCTGGTTTTAGGAATGTACATAATTATTAACAAAACTGTACTTCTTCTTTCAGGAAACCATGAATGTACATAATTATTAATGAAACTGTACTTCTTCTTTCAGGAAACCACTGGATCCAAGTGCCATCCGTTATATCATTAACTTTGAATTGGGAGAACCTTTCATTAGTAAAGGTCTTGAGTTTGCTGTGTTGAAGGTCAAGGGACAAAGTTTTATGTTGCATCAGATCCGGAAAATGGTTGGTATGACTATTGCAGTGGCTAGAGGGCTTGCTACCATTGATACTTTGCACAAAGCATGGAAGACAGAGCGGCTAGATCTCCCTGTAGCTCCAGGCCTCGGATTAGTTCTTGAGGAGGTAAAACTCTTTATATTAATCTGTTTCACAGTAGAACTTTAAAGTTCAACATCAGTAATACCAAAGTCTGCCATTAATTCATGCAGAATTTTGACAAGGAAACCTGTTGGCAAAGGTTGCTTTGAAGACTGAGGAGATAGGATGACATAAGCAGCTATTAGCCTCCTAGATTTCACTATTCTGACAGTATTACTCTATGGGGGTCTGCTTTGTGACTATAAGAAGTGTGAGGCAGGTACAGTTTACTGCATTTGCCTTACATTTTTCTAGCTACAGTCACAAAGCTGAGAACATAAGAACGTAGGTGACTTCATTAAAGGACATAGCCCACTTATTTCACCCTTCCTTCTTTAAAAATAAGTTCAGGTTTTCAATTCATAAGGATTGTAGGTGTCAATAGTTTTATTTCCAGAACTTGTAATTCATTCCCATACTTCCATATTTACATGAGTATAAGCCACATATATACAAGTTGCATCAAAGTTTATATTAATTTTCCCTGACATATATCTTTAAGTTCAGAATACATTCACTGTAGCAGTTTTGTGAGAATGAACCACACTGCATGTACTGTTACACATTACCTGCTGGCTTCATGAAAATGAAACTTCCAATAGAGTGGTCATGTGATATTTGTGGGTGATGTCTGTTAAAACAAGTAAGTGTAGGCAGACTGAAAGAAAGAGACAGCATTCACCAACTTCAGCTATTACTCATCATAGTAGTATTGCTTCAACACAAGTGACAAACCACTGCACTACTGCTTATTTTCATTAGGTGGAGGGTATTATTTTTCAGTCTCATTTTTTTCTGTAAATAATTAATGGCTTTCTGTGTTTATAACAAAAATGACACTTGTCTTATTCAGTTTCCTATTGCTTTCAATGGGCCTTCTTGTAGTGGTTATAAACACGCACATGCATGTAACACACCAGAACAGTGAAAGAATTTTGTATCAGCATGGATCTGAAAAATCCTCCTTTCCAAGGTACAACCCTCATTTCCTTTTTAAAAATGTTTATGCAATGTAAACTTTGTTGTGTTCTCTCTGCACTTGTCCCAACAGTCATGTCTGGGTCATTGGCAGCACCAGCACTGCCAGTGCTTGTGTGATTTAGTTTGAAACATCCAATTTCTGCATCTTTTTCTCAGATCTTATTTATTTTAGTAATGATATCCAGTGGCAGTGTTAGAAAGTCTGATGATGAGCACTGTTTAAACTGTCGCTGCAAATGCTGATAACCATCTGTCTGCATCTAATTTCTATGGAAGTTGTTTGTTCATGCTCAGAAGTGGCAGATCAATGCTGATAACCATCTCTCTGCATCTAATTTCTATGGAAATTGTTTGTTCATGCTCAGAAGTGGCAGATTTGCAAATTTATGGGTGTGCACATGGCAGTGGTACAGACTTGTCTGCTTGTAGTGCCTTAGTGCCTTATTAGGAGATATTTGCTTTGATCAACTGAATACCTGTTTTTAGTTCATGGAACGTTGTGAATCAAGGCATTGACTGTTCAACGTGTGAATTATTAATACTACACAGGATATGTTACTAAATTTCTTGAATGTAGCTATACAGCTTATGACTCTCTCACCTATTCCAGAACCTGCTTTATGTTTTATATTGATAGAAAAGGCAAGGAGAAGAAAGCATTCAAGTTTTGTGTATCTTTTTCTGCAGGTACATTATGGCAGATATAATCAGCGTTTTGGAAAAGATGGAATTCATGAACCACTTGATTGGTCTGAAACTGAGGCTGAAGCAGTAGCATTCAAAGAGAATTTTATTTACCCGACAATAATTCAATCTGAAATTGAAGACAAGTCGTATCCTTTTTGCTGTTGGTTCACTAATAATGTAACACAATACTTTTTGGTAAAATGTTCATCTTGTGACTTTAGGGTGTAAGTATGATAAGTCAGTTTAGCTTATTATGTATTTCCATGAGAAGTTATATTTCATTTTGAAGCACCCTGTATCCAGAAAAGAAATCTTACAGGTATTGTCTCTTTTCTTTCATCTTTTGAATCCTTTATCAGATTATGAAGCCATTTTTTGCATTAGAGACTAAGACTCACAAATATGAAATTGCGTTTTAATTCAGATTGGGTCTTGTACTTGAAGACATAAATAAACTTTCTGATTTACCTTTAACATTTCTGTGTCATACAATATCTGAATCTTACTCCGGGGATGGAGGGTATTTAAATATCAAAGCTTGAAAATGCTACATTTTCCATAAATCTCGAAGAACTAGTATGTTCTTTCCTAGTTTCCATATTGCATCCAGAGAAGTACACAAAATCATAATATAGTACCAAATTTAAAATTAGTTTTTGTACAGTATGCTGGTAAAATTTATGGTAGATTAGTATTTTATTGGCATTATTATCTTAGAAATTGAGCTTTTTTATGATGATCTCAAGAGCATTCAATGCAGAGTCCAACATGTACATCACATCAGTACACAGTGTGCTACCATTACCTCACTGCCATCTGTGTGGTCCCACTTTCTTCTTGGGAGGCAGAAGCTTAACTTATAAAATGTATTTTTGTCAATCATGGTAGTGTGTTGTTTGATACTTCATAAACAGTCCTTCAGATGAGTTCTGAATGGCAGCTCATAGTTCTGTCCCCAGTGTTATTCCTGTATATTATTATGGCATTCAGAATTGAAATTTGTCATGTGTGTCAGATGGTGCTGAGAGCTTAAGGCTCAGTTAGGAAGTTAGAGGGTAATTAAACACCAAGTCTTTGAGTAAGGTGTAAAGACATGGAGCTATGACAGACTCAGCAGTCTAGAGTGTATTAAAATTTAAACACAAGAGATACATGAGAACCAGATGAGTTAATGGAGTACAGCCAATTACAGAAAATAAAAAGAAATAAGTTCCTTAACCTGCGCTCCAGAATGATGTCTTGGCTCGAGACACTTCACTTACATAGCTACTGTATCCGTGAAGATAATTTATCTCATGGGTTGGAAACACTGGGAGAGGCTGTAGATATGATACAGGGAATAGATGATGGTGACAGACTGGCTACTTTAGCGAGAGTAGCACAGGTGGTGCAGGAGGGTCAGAATGTCATGTGTAATGGCAATTCCAACCAGTATCCTTCTGAAGGTGTGTCATCACCTTAGGTGAATATTGTGTACTACTTTGTAAAAGGACTGTAGTATCTGATTTAATTTTATACAATAAAGAACAATTTGTTACAATTCTAATATTTTGCTTTATTTATGAACGTGTTTATATAAATGTGAGTAGAAGATTTTTCTTCTCCAGCCTCTGGGGCCCACCCAGCCTTCTATCTAATGGATACTGGAGTCCTTTCCTGGGGGTAAAGCGCGGCCAAGGCATGACACTGACCACTCACCCCTATCTAATACTGAGGTTAAGAATGAGTAGGAGCTATATATCTTCTTCCCACAGGTGCCTGAACGGCATATAGTGGGACAGCTTTTTATTTATTTATAAATATTTTGTCTTTCCATCTGATTTATAAGAACCTAAAGATTAAAATATACAAAATAATTTTGCCTGTTGTTTAATATGGGTTTGAAACATAGAGGAAGAGAGGAAAAATACAAGGGGGAAAACATTTGATAATTCCTAGTAATTTAAGTGACCCTTCAAACATCCTCATTGCGTTGTTGTTGCTCATTAAGTTATAATGAGAGGTACACTAAAGCAACAATAACTGTGTTCATAGTGGTTGAACTTCTCCATTGAATCAGCATATGTTGATTTTGGCAGTGAATGTGTTATATTAAAATGTGCTCAGTTGAAATCCAGATACTTGAATCTGCATTGAGTTTCCTACTAGAATAACTGGTTTCGGATCGTCAAAAGTGGATGAAAATGGTGGCTAACACTTTTGTTCTGACATGTTTACTGATCTGAGTTGCATTCTTTCTGCCATGAATTGGCATTAGTTTTTAGGTGACGACCATTTTGCTAGTACTTGGTAACTACTTAACCAACTTCACCTGGTTGAGAAAGAGCCACATATGCTGCTGACATTTACCCATTGTTTTGCCCAAAGTGGAGAGACCTGTAGTTGCATGATGATTATACCAAATGTCACAAATATCCTTTAAATGATGTAAGTTATTGTGGGGGGGGGGAGGGGGTGGAGGCAGACATGTTTTTGTGCCATGAACATGTGTTTGTATAATATAAAAAGTAGGCTAAATAAAAACAGGTATTCCAAATACACATTTGTATTTATGTACATAGCATTATAACTTTTGATGTATGTGATTACAGAAATTATCAGTAATTTACAGGTGCATTTGTTGCAATGTAGCATCTACCTTACCGACAAGCTCAAGAAAGCTTGGGTCCAATATACACAGTTGCACAGTCTTGTCCAGAGGAAATTCTGGTGGAAGTGGTTCAGGAGCCAGGCAATCTGCATTGAAATTGATATAATGATTTAACAATTAAGACTAAAAAAGTTTTGACATTTTCAGGGTATTACAGAGCTGTTTGTGTGAAAATTGTAACAAACACTGCATACATTCTTCATTACAGTGAATATTGTTTACTGTTGTTTCCTGCAAGAAAATTCATGTTATGACCTTTCCTGTTAATTTCTTAGGTATGGCACTTTTCTCAGTTTTGGTACATTAAAGTTGGCATAAAATAGAACCTGAAGTGACTGGAAGCATGATTTTATTGAAAAGTTTCTTTGCTCCTGAGAACATAAAGTGAAAATTAATGTAAAATCATGTTTACTGGCTTGGCCAGGACCTCTGGTCCTGTGCTTACTGTAGCGTTCTTTGTGCTCAGCAGTTGGTAGAAGCTCTTTGGTAATTGGTATTCTCATGTGTGAGGGAGCTACACAAACTTGTTTGGGCTTCAGTTTTAAGGAACAAAGAAGTCAAGCCATGAAGAAGGAGGAAAAATGTAACAAAACAGTTCACTTGGATATTTGTTTTCTATTCAAATTGTTTTGTTCTGTACTGTTCTTCCTGGATCAGAGGTGGAACAAACTTGTCACAAACAGGAAAGAATTTAGCAGGCCTATGAACAAAATATGTAAACTACTGGAAAATAATAAAACTGATCATGTGTACTGCACTGTACAAAAGTACATGGTTTGTGCAACACTTTTAATTTAAAATGTATAAATGTGTTCAATGGCAACCTCCCTGAAACAGAAGTGTTCAGGTTTCACTGTACTAAGTCTTGCAAGTGCTGTTTAATTCTACAGATTCTACAGACCCAGTAGAATTCATTCAGCACTTGTAAAATACTTTATGACAGTATATTATTAAAAACATGGAGCTTTTATATGATGATCATGAATGAAGTAAACCTCATAGCAGCCACCTGTATATGTACTTTGTGTGGCTACCATGTTGTTCTTTACACAGTATGCGTGAAGTGAATGCATAGAACACTGATAATGACTGTCTTTAAACCTGTATACACCATTCAAATTGAGAACTGCTAGGCAGATTTTGATTAAATTTGGTGGATGCGTGATTTTGTAAGATGGGAGAAACACTACTGCCACCTAATGTAGAGTTCTGAAATGATGTATGTTAATCAGTCTTTGAAAAATATACATTATCCTGAAATGATGTATGGTAATCAGTCTTTGAAAAATATACATTATTAGTTTTATAATTCTATGTACAATGTAAAACAACATGGTGGCTACATGAAACAATAACAAAATTCTGACTCAACCAGAATTCAGTGACATGACCACTTGTGCATGAGTCCAGTATCTAAGTAAGAAAATTGACATCTTATTTCATTAATAATTTTAAGTATGGTGAATATTTAATAAAGTACAATATAATTTATAATTCTTATGCATTGCAAATACCTTAATAGCAGCATATTTATATTAGCAATAAGTGAACACAAAGACTAATGAGGTACACACAATTTCAAAGAACACGTTTGAAAAATTGACCCTGATCACAGTAAACTTTTCCCCATTGGTGTTAAAAAAATTAAACTTCTAGGAATATTCCATACCAACAAGAGTGCTGCCATTTGAAGCTTCAGCCTTCATAAAATTGTTGTACCAGTCTGAGATTGTTATGTGTGCTGTAGTGCTGGTTTCTGGAACATGTTACATATTAGTAGTCATAAATGTTTTTCTTAAATGTAAAACTCTAAAAACTTCAAACAAAGTTAGTTTGAGAACTGACATGGACACCACAGAACCAGTATTCTGCACATTTGCAATTTTGTCATCAGAATGTGGAAGCATCGAGAGCATGGTAGGGATTTATAACTCGGGTCCTTTAGTACATGGTCTAGCATATTGTTTCTAGACTACCAGGTCACTTACTGCATAAATATTGTAGCCTCCAAACATATTGACAGCCAGCAAATGGTCAGGGAATTATCAACTCTCTTTGTGTGTGTGTGAGCTTTACTTAAATCTACTTGTTCATTCTCATTTTATGAGCTTTATTTAAATCTACTTGTTCATTCTCATTTTAATCTAGTGTAATATTTTATATATCCAGTATCAGTTGATATACTGAATAAATATTAACACACTGGATAAATGAATGAATGTTATGAAATGTCACCAAGTCTTAAAGAAGGGCATCATTTTTGAAAGATCTGAGTATAGATGGGATAATATCAAAATGGAAGGTGTGCACTGCATTAAACTACCTCAGGATTGGGCATAAAGGCAAGATTTAATGAACATGGTAATTAACCTTTGAATTAGAGAATTTCTTGACCAGCTGAGTATAGTAACCATCAAATTTTTAAGGAAAACTGTGTACCATGTACTGTAATTAGATCATTTTATAGTTTACACTGCGACATGGTTTTGTATACACATATTGGTAATTGTGTATCAATTCCCTCACTTATATTTAAAATGTAGTGTTGCTACTTACCTGTAGGATCATGTATTGGCATATACTGAGACAGGATGGTCACACAGTCCCTGCAGTTTGATTTTGCAGAGTTTAAATCTGTTGCAGCAAACTTTACACGAAACCGACGAGAAGTTGTCTGCAAATGAAATTGAAGAAGTATTTTATGAATTATTTCTTAGGCAATTTATTGGTACTGTATAATATGTTGAGTTAATGGCTAGTTTGTTTCTAAGTTTATATGGAGACGTCTTTTCAGCTACCTAGTTTATACATACAATGTTGATAGGAGGATGGTCCTGAATGAAGTATAAAGATGTGAAAGGAAGTGCTAATGTCCTATTTTAATACTTATATGGGATTTCAACTCCTATACTATGAGGCTGATGGCTGGACTTTAACTCCCAGGTTAATGGTTTAACAGTATGCTAGTGCACTGCACAGCCAGCTTGACCATGCATAAGCTACTCTGCAGAGATGATAAATGTTAATGTATTGTCACCACATTTGACAAACATGCCAGAGGGAATCTACAAAGAATTGTGGTAAGAGTAGTCAACCAGTGGTGAGAGAATCAATACCATGACTTCCAGAATACAGTACAGCAGG